CAACCTGACCACCCGATCCACTCAGTCACCTCGTACAACCTGACCACCCGATCCACTCAGTAACCTCGTACAACCTGACCAACCGATCCACATATTCACCTCGTATGATAGGAGAAAGACATAACTACCCTTCAAGACGTTTTGGGCTTTAATTACCACAATGAAATTGCCAACAGGAAACTGCACAGCATTAAACCATGATTAATTATTAGAATTTCATCCCTTCCCATCATTTTATGTCCCCAAATTACTGCAGATGAAGAAAACTGAAGTTTGTTCTTTCTCAACTTGAGAAATACCCAAATACATGATTCCTGCCCAACATTCATGCTTCATGTGAACCACATGCGTTCACAGTTTATACACAGATGCCTTGGACACCTTGAACAATTTATTTGCAAAATTTGGGTGAGTATCAAATGATCTCGATGAAAACAAGTAATTGGTTACAAATGACAAGTGCTAATACTTGAGTAGAAGACAATAGGGAAGTCCTCAGCAGCATTTCACAAGTCCCCCTAGTTTTTACTGGCCTAACAGGAAGCATAGCGTTGCCCTCACAAGATGGTAACCATGGTAACTGAATGAATATTTCTAGGTTTCATCTTTTGGTTAACACTCAAATAGAAGAAAGCAACACAGTAAGTGTGATAGAAGCTTCCATGGATGCTTATTAACTGCTGTTGAGAAACCATGAAGTTTAGATCCATTAACTAATGGCACTCCTTACAATGTAACATTTGGATGCTCCTTAGGATTTCAGAGTAAAATATCTTGACCACACTTGATACCATATGAAGTCAGAATGTGCATTGATGAAGAGTAGAAAAAGACAGTTCATCTCCTCAACTATCAGCAGCAACTTAGAACCTCATCCCCAGGAATGGTGGATCAAAGAATAGGTGCACTCTTCAAACTTCTGTTAATATTCAACTTCCGTTTACAAGATCAGAACATTCTCATGAATCAAGTTTTCCATCTACAATGAGGAGAAAGAACATTCAACAACTTCACCACGTTCAAGTCCTTGAGAGAAACCAATTATCAAAGTTCATGGCTCTCTTCAAAATAACTGATTGCAGCTAAATATTTTTGATTTGGCAAAGGAAAATCAAATTAAATTCAAACCATTAGCTCTGATATGTATGAGTGGCCAACTAAATTAAGTTGTGTTAAGAGTGTAAAAGAGACTCATTCTGAATTTGTGATGTCCACTGTGACGGTTTGTTTCTGATCATAGTCTTCAGAAACATGCAACTTGAATCAAGATTTTGATGCAAAATTATGATATTTAACGATGTGTGGTATATACAATGTATTCTAAAGACCCTTTACATTTTTATGTCAAGTCACTCAATCACAAAATAACATGGCAAAATACCCTAGCCAGTCACCCAGGGTTGGGTGCGTGGGTAGGTACATTGGGGCTTCATACAGATGTGGGTACGTAGGTAGGTACATTGGGGGTTGGTACATGTGTGGGTGTGTGGGTAGGTGCATAGGGGGTTCGTACATAGGTGGGTGTGTGGGTAGGTACATAGGGAGTTCGTACATGGGTGGGTGCGTGGGTAGGTACATAGGGGGTTCGTACATGGGATGGTGCGTGGGTAGGTACATAGGGGGTTCGTACATGGGTGGGTGTGTGGGTAGGTACATAGGGGGTTCGTACATGGGTGGGTGTGTGGGTAGGTACATAGGGGGTTGGTACATGGGTGGGTGTGTGGGTAGGTACATAGGGGGTTGGTACATGGGTAGGTGTGTGGGTAGGTACATAGGGGGTTGGTACATGGGTGGGTGTGTGGGTAGGTACATAGGGGGTTGGTACATGGGTGGGTGTGTGGGTAGGTACATAGGGGGTTGGTACATGTGTGGGTGTGTGGGTAGGTACATAGGGGGTTCGTACATGGGTGGGTGTGTGGGTAGGTACATAGGGAGTTGGTACATGGGAGGGTGTGTGGGTAGGTACATAGGGGGTTGGTACATGGGTGGGTGTGTGGGTAGGTACATAGGGGGTTGGTACATGGGTGGGTGTGTGGGTAGGTACATAGGGGGTTGGTACATGGGTGGGTGTGTGGGTAGGTACATAGGGGGTTGGTACATGTGTGGGTGTGTGGGTAGGTACATAGGGGGTTCGTACATGGGTGGGTGTGTGGGTAGGTACATAGGGAGTTTGTACATGGGAGGGTGTGTGGGTAGGTACATAGGGGGTTGGTACATGGGTGGGTGTGTGGGTAGGTACATAGGGGGTTGGTACATGGGTGGGTGTGTGGGTAGGTACATAGGGGGTTCATACATGGGAGGGTGTGTGCAACAAAACAGTCATGTAAATATCATCGATTTAATTAAAAAAACAGGATAGACAAAACTATAATATATCTACAAAAAATATATGAACTACAATACACAACATGGCACTGTAGCTCACATGGACATTTAGACAACAACCTAAAATGTCACCATCAAAAGGCACTTACCAAAAGATGCATTCTCAATTGACATTCAGATATTTTCTGCATAAGTACGGAAAACAGAAAAACGCGATAAAATCTAAGGATTTGAACAAAATATCATGTCACCTTTTGGAGAGAAATATGCCAAAGTTTCGCTTCCTCGATCAGGTAATTTCAGAGAAGATGTCTATAGAGTCAAAAATGCATTTTGAAAGTATTCAAGAGCGTGTTCAAAGTTTTCCTTAAAAAAATAAACTTAAATTTAGAAACCAAAGAAAACAAAAAAAGCACATGTTCAGTCAAACAGCATTTTTCATAATTGTTTTTGCCAATTCTCTATTACTAATTTAATACATTTTTAATTAATAATTACCAAAAGTCACAACTAAAAAAGAATTAAAATTGGTTCGGCCTAAAGAGTTCTTATCATTGAACATGAATCAATTAAACACATTAAACATACTTCCAACAGGCAAAATACGAAACAGGCTGATGTTTTGGAACCTTTTTCCATTAGCAACAAGACCCTGATAGTACGTAGCTGGTGCCAAAAAGCCTGCAACTTGCATCATTGCAAAAATTTACATCAAAAAGCGTAAAAGACAATTACACGAGACAGACTAAAGAATCACGCCTGATCGTGTTTCACCAAAGTCACATTTGCACAAAAAAAAGGTAACACATCAGAGGGAGAGGAAAGACATTCTTTTATGGGTGCTTCAAACACAACTGAACATGGCAATGAACAGCTGCACTTGACTTTGTGTGCTTGTTTGTTTCTCGTTTAACGTCTCACTCAGCAATATTCCAGCAATATGATAACAGCATATAAATAATCAAATCTAGACCAGACAATCCAGTGATTGACATTGTGAACAATGTTGGGGATAAAATAACATGCCATGAACCAAACTACCAAGTCTGACCACCTGATCTGCTAAGTCAGCTCTTGCGACCAGCACAGGCTGCTGGGTACCTACTCCAACCTGGACTCCCCTCGGGGTTGCATTTTAATGACACTTGCAGCACATCCTCAGCTCTATAACCAGTGTGGTGGGGGACAGGGAAGGGAAGGAGTTGTACTGTTTTACACCACAGTCAGCAATTGTCTCGCCACATCAAGGAGGCCTGTAATTATTTATATAAGGGCCAGGAAAACCAATGGCTACCGTATTCGATGTAATAAGCGTCCTGCTCTAATAAGCGCCTACGACGATATCTGCTAAAATATTGGCAAGTGAACAATCTCAATTAGCACCCCTTCTGACTGATCAATGAACACAAGACTTATTTATTCGCGTATAATACGCACTCGAGTGTTATAACACCATTAATTATTGGCAATTAAATTCTGGAAAAACATGTCTGTCGTATATAAACATTTCAGGCTGTCAGCATAAACCACAAAATTTATCTTTGAACTCTGTTTATTTTCACCAAAATAATATTTCTAATTTTGAGAGCGCCCTGGGCGCATATTACAGTAAATACAATATATACAGAGCTAGATTTGTCATTTCTGGAAGGCCCCAGTAGTGATTGGACACTACCACCTATTTTCAGTGTGACACCATTACCTTTGACTTGGTGTAGTTCAGGCTGACTACATTATGCCAAAGCAAAGTACCTTTCCTCCAGCCAACACCCTGAGGAACCTTAATGATACCATTTCTGGTTACACACACACACACGCCAAATTTTCACGTCGATTCTTCCAACACAGATTGCCATATCTCTCTCACTTTTGGAAGGGATCGTTCGGCCATTGGGTTTATCTGTGTTGCCCAGCTACATCTATGGGAAACAACTTACTGGACACTACTCTCTAAAAAAAATGTTATCCCAATTACGATGTCATCAAGTTGCGAGCGCATGTTCTAATCTCCAGAAAAAGATAAGCGCATATGCAAGTATTGTGATACATATCGGATGGTGAACAAGGCATCGTGATACATATCGGATCATGAACAAGGCATCGTGATACATATCGAATCGTGAACAAGGCATTGTGATACATATCGGATCGTGAACAAGGCATCGTGATACATATCGGATCGTGAACAAGGCATCGTGATACATATCAGATGGTGAACAAGGCATCGTGATACATATCGGATCGTGAACAAGGCATCGTGATACATATCGGATCGTGAACAAGGCATCGTGATACATATCAAATCGTGAACAAGGCATTGTGATACATATCAGATCGTGAACAAGGCATCCTGATACATATCAGATCGTGAACAAGGCATCCTGATACATATCGGATCGTGAACAAGGCATCGTGATGCATATCGGATGGTGAACAAGGCATCGTGATAGATATCGGATCGTGAACAAGGCATCGTGATACATATCGGATGGTGAACAAGGCATCGTGATAGATATCGGATCGTGAACAAGGCATCGTGATACATATCGGATGGTGAACAAGGCATCGTGGTACATATCGGATCGTGAACAAGGCATCGTGGTACATATCGGATCACACAGTGGATGTACCATCCCAGCCCTAGATAATGATACATGTATATTGTAGGAACTTACCTCTTCTGAAATGTGGTTACAACGTTCAATCAGAGTTCGGCGCATCTTGTGGACACTCTCAGAGGGCTTCTCTGGCTCCGATTCATTCCCAAGAATGAAATGAGTAAATTCTGGAAATACATCACGAACATCATCAGAACTGGACATCCCTTGGCCAAGGAACCGAAGTCTACAAGGCTCTTTTCTCCCACACTCCATAACCCCGAGTTTGAAGTTGTTCCCTTACAAACATGATTCATGACATCACACATTTATACTCCATCAGGCTAAACCTTGTTGAAACTGCATTCCCACAATAGACTTGCATCATCATAGGCAAATGTTCCTGTAACTCGCCTCTGTGCTCCTGCTGGAAATCATGTAGACAATGACCAGAGGGAGAAGGAGAAGGACTGCATGACACATGCTTTTTTAACATGCCTTTAGTTAACAACTCTAAAGTCCTTCATTAAGGTGAGGTGAAATTGGGTTTAACGTCGCATCCAAGATTATTGCACTTACATAGCGACGTGCATGCACGTGTGTGTGTGTGTGGCTGCTTGTACTAGTCCGGACTGATGCTGATTTATAGTGCTAGCACACTGAGATACCATGCCGCAGTTTAACATGAATACCCCACTCAGACACAGTATACTGACTCCGAGCCGACCAGTCCTTGTTTTAGCCCCTTAATGCCGAGCGCCAGACAGGGTAACAACAAGTACCATCTTTTAACGTCTTTTGGTATGACCCGGCCGGGGATCGAACCCCGGACCTTCCGCTCTCCAGGTGGACGCTCTACCACTAGACCACGGAGGCGGTCCCTTCATTAAGACATAAATGACTCACAGTCGTTGTGTATCGTACAATAAAACACTGCAGGGAGACACAGCCAAGAGGGACGAAGCCCCAAGTTGTTTATTATCCCTGCAGTGTTTTATTGTACAATACACAACGACCACGAGTCGTTTATTTCTTATGTGAGATATCAACATTACGTACAACCTCTTTAACATGTTTAAGGATGTTGGTAAAAAGTCTACGCTTTAAAAATCTTTACCCTATTTAAATAATCAGGTCTCCCTGAATAAAATCCAACTGAGGCAATGTCGGACAAGTCCTTTTAATGAACGGGTTAATATATTTGGTCTTTCCCGCATATTCTCACAATTTTCACCTTGATTTTCTGCACCTTTTCTCCCAACACTGATTGTCATATCTCTCTCACTTTTGGAAGTGATTGTTCGGCCGGTGCATTTATTTATTTGTCCAACTATCCCAGCCCCGTTGTATGAAGTACTCTAATGTTGCAAGGGTCCTGGGATGGTGTACCGGTGGTGCTTACAGGTGGGTTGGTGATCTGGTGTACCGGTGGAATGGTGGGAAGTTGGACCGTTAGTGGGAAGTATCTGACCGGTGGACCGTTAGGGGATACCCATGTGTGGGAAATATCTGACCGGTGGACCGTTAGGGGATACCCATGTGTGGGAAGTATCTGACCGGTGGACCGTTAGGGGATATCCATGTGTGGGAAGTATCTGACCGGTGGACCGGTGGGAAGACTTTCCAGGACCGGTGGACCATTAGGGGATACCCATGTGTAGGAAGTATCTGACCGGTGGACCAGTGGGAAGACTTTCCAGGACCGTTGGACCATTAGGGGATACCCATGTGTGGGAAGTATCTGACTGGTGGACCGGTGGGAAGACTTTCCAGGACCGTTGGACCATTAGGGGATACCCATGTGTGGGAAGTATCTGACTGGTGGACCAGTGGGAAGTCTTTCCAGGACCGGTGGACCATTAGATGATACCCATGTGTGGGAAGTATCTGACCGGTGGACCGGTGGGAAGACTTTCCAGGACCGGTGGACCATTAGATGATACCCATGTGTGGGAAGTATCTGACCGGTGGACCAGTGGGAAGACTTTCCAGGACCGTTGGACCGTTAGGGGATACCCATGTGTGGGAAGTATCTGACTGGTGGACCGGTGGGAAGTCTTTCCAGGACCGGTGGACCATTAGATGATACCCATGTGTGGGAAGTATCTGACCGGTGTACTGGTGGGAAGTCTTTCCAGGACCGGTGGACCGTTAGGGGATACCCATGTGTGGGAAGTATCTGACCGGTGGATTGGTGGGAAGTCTTTCCAGGACCGGTGGACCGTTAGGGGATATCCATGTGTGGGTAGTATCTGACCAGTGGACCGGAATATAAATGGGGATGTGATGTTTTTAACGATGGGAGTACCAGTGGTGGTGTCTTATATGACAACAAAACAGTTTTCATAGAAATCAGGAGCCAAGACTCACCTGTAAGTAGTGGTTGGGAACATACTGTCTTCAGACAGCGGGTGAGGTAGCACGTTGCCATTATAGCACCAGTCTCACACCTGTAGTACAAAGTCAAAATGTAAAGTATTAAATGAGGTGAGGTGAAACTGGTTTTAATGCTGCGTCCAAGATTATTGCACTTATATAGCGACATGCCTGTGTGAGTGTGAGTGTGAGTGTGTGTGTGTGTGTGTGTGTGCTTGTACTAGTCTGGACTGATGCCGTTTTATAGTGCTAGCTCACTGAGATACCATGCTGCAGTTTAACATGAATACCCCACTCAGACACACTGACTCTGAGCCAACCAGTCCTTGTTTTAGCCCCTTAATGACGAGTGCCAGGCAGGGTAACAACAAGTACCATCTTTTAACATCTGTTGGTATGATCAAACCCTGGACCTTCCTCTCTCTCGGCCGCCACTCTACCAGTAGACTCAGGAAGCGGTAAGTATTATATGAAGCTACCTTTATTACCAGTAATGTATATAATGACAGAAAACAATGAACACAGCCACTTGTAGCACTTGTCGTCATCAATAATTATTGTCATAATCAAAAGTTCCGCACCACTTTTCATATATTCTGAACTTCCACGTATCGTTTGGAAATATCAAGATTTGACATCCATCCCAAACAAAAACAAATATCTTTCAACAGAAAATTAAGACACAATACAATTTTTAAATATATAGTAAATGGTGCCTTATTTAACCAGGTTTACAGTAGGGTATGTTTATAGCAAACACGCATGTAATGAACTGATAGATATAACTTTTGGTCAGAGCCATTTGCTGTATCTATGCTGTGTGTGCTTATAACAAACTACAGTTATAACAAACTAAAATTAGTGGTCTTTTTGAGTTTGTGATAACCGTAGTTTACTGTATATAACATGACATAGGAACGAAAGGTAATTATCCAGGCTAGTTTGCTATTGCAATATTGTGGTAGTTAAAAACTTTATTACAATACTGATACAACCATTTCAATGGTACTGCGATGATTAAGTATCTGTAACATCATACAACGTAGACGTCCTTGCATTATTCAACATACATGTACTGACAAAAGTACCCGTGAAGATCCGGGGTAGAGTAGGTCTTCAGCAACCCATGCTTGCCGTAAAAGGCGACTATGCTTGTTGTAAGAGACGACTTATGGGATCGGATGGTCAGGCTCGCTGACTTGGTTGATGCATGTCATCGTATCCCAAATGCGAGAATTGATGCTCATGATGTCAATCACTGGATTGTTTGGTCCAGACTTGATTATTAAGAGACCACCATCATATAGTTGGAATATTGCTGAGTGCGGCGTTAAACAATAAACAAAACTGACAAAAGCTTACAATTTTGTCCGAGCTCAAGGCTTGTCATAGTGCAGTGTTCAAAACTCGCATCTAATAATCCAAATGATAAAACTTGAACATGGAGAAGTCCCTGTGTTCAAGATATAGCAGGACAAGAGCATATTTCCAAGTCTGCTTAGAGACCAAAAGATCTACCCGTAAAGCTGTATAGAGGTGATTTTATTTCACTGATGACAGGGTCCATATAAAGGAAGAAGCTTTAATGCTTAGTTGAACATTTGAGGCAGTGTCAAAATTCAATGCTAAAATACTGCTCTGAATCTTGAAAAATTATAACTTAAAAAACATATATTTTTGAACAAACTAACACTTTTCACCAATCTGCCTGCTAATTGCACCTAATTTGGAATTCTAGATAACTTGTAAGTTGTGTTCAACGCCACTTTCAACAGTATTCCGGCTATATCACAGCGTGTCAGGTTAATGTGGGAGGAAAGCCCGAAGTGATGCAGGTCTTGGACGTTTACCACTTTTTGAACACTGTGGTTTGTGATCAGAAAACACTAACCGTAGAATAGACATGATAAAAACACTGTACTGACGTTTGTAAGATGAGAGGCTGCATCTTCCCTTTCAGCAGCTCCACATGTATGGAGGTGGATAAGGCACAGGCTACCAGGGGGTTGGCAATGGAGATGAGCTGGTCACAATAATCCAACCACGACAAGAATGATATCAATGTGCGCTTGCCAATGAAAGACTGGTGGTCTTCTCGCTCAGTGAAAACATCCAGACTGAAAACAACAAGTTGACCATGTTAGGATGATGTCGACAGAAGGATACCATAAATAATGGTATTGGTAACTGTTTCATAGGGAAATAGTATATAATGTACATGGAGAGTTACTTCCCCTTATTGAAGACACAGAAGGAAGTCACCAAATCATCAGACTTCAGTTTCTTGTCATGCAAAAATACTGTAAAAATCTGTGAAGTTGTATCATACATGTTGATCAAATGACCGCAAGCCAAGCATCATTTGTTGAATTAGTAACCACAGCAATCCATTAATCTGTGTCATAAGGATTTTACATTACTTCATTCAATTACACCTCTCAGGCTGACATCTCCAAGGTACTTTCATACTGGAAACAAAATGGCCTACAGAGCAATGGATGATTATAAACTAGAATATTCCAGTTCACTTACAAACAATATTTCAAAGCTTTTAAAATGACAACATTTTCTTGTACAGATGTAAGGGTTCTGTGTTACCAAAGTGGCTGATGTCAAAACAAGATTTCAATTCCAGGAATTTGATGACATTTTTTATTCTAAGAGTAAAACTGCTGTTATGACATGCCTCAAAAGCTTCCTCTTTGGTGACAATAGCTGCTCATTAAAACACAAAGATTGGAATACTGAACTAAAGCAAGCTGGATTTGTCGTCCCAGTTCGTCCCCAGTAACATGGATGCTTGAAATAAAGAGTCAACTAATTCACTGAGTGGTGAGTCTCTCTGAATGTCATCCTGCCCCAGTGGTTGTGTGCTCATGCTTTCAGTCACTGGTAATGCAGGTCCAGGCTGCCAGATACAGCTAGATCAGTGCTGACTGCAGCGTTAAAACAACAATGGTGACCCACCAGGAGAAAAGGGACTGTACAATTGTGCTGTGACCTCACAAGAGAGACGTTTGATGCCAACTTACTTCCAAAACAAGGCCAATTGTACGGACTGTACAGACATTTTATTTTTATCCCTTAGGTTTGTAATGTCATAAAAACATTATTCGAAAACATTTGGGTGTACATGTCTTTGTTCAATTAATCTGATATTATATAAAATACTACAATTAGTAAAATCTAAATATTTTTTACATTTGTATACTTATCCTGCATTACTCCTTAATGCATTCACTGCTTACTTACGACAACTAGAAGGACAGCGCTGCGAAGGTCCTGGGTGAAGAAATAAAGTTGTTGTTCTCAAGTCCCAATCAGTGGCCTTCCGTCGCTGTCCTGTGACCTTGATGACACCTAAGGTCATCTTCACATCACTGCCTGTCGCCCAAGCTCTTAGAAAAACATACTTTTGAGGTTTCTGAAGCCAAAGTGGGGAGGCAAGTCTAACGACGGGTGGGCCTTAAGCGTAGTAATGCAGGATAAGTATACAAATGTAAAAAATATTTAGATTTTACTAAATTTTTTACTTATCCTGCATTACTCCTTAATGCATCTGTATCGGACGGTTTGGAGGTGGGTCAACCTTCAGAATACAGAAACCTCAATAATTCACACCCTGCAATACGACCCCATTTGGTCGATAAACCGTGAAGCGGAAAAGTTCAGACAAAAACGCCATTACGGTAGGGTTGTTCAAAAATCAAAAACATTGAACATAGGAATTAAAGAGAAATTCCCTATACACGCTTAGTAATAAAGAAAATAATAGCTATTCAGCTAATTCTTTACTTACTGCGTCATAGAGCCGTCGCTGACAAACAAGATTGTCTAATATTCTTCCACTGGTGGCGACTGAGTGACTGCACATGGAAGTTGACTGGCTCTGTATAGGGCGAGTTCATTATTTGCGTCAGTGGTTGGCAATCTGCAGGATAACAACCAGAGGGCCAAACTTCGAACGTCTTTGACATCCTCGAGAGTCACAACGCGAAGGTTATGACTAACGAAAATATGTGTCGAATCTCCAGAAATATCCTTCCGTGATTGTTCCAAAACCACAATTGCCGTGTTGAGCCCTTGTAAGGCTGACACCTTGAGATCTTGAGGGTAATTCGCTCTCGGCGAGTTCCGTTTGATGATCTCGTAGGCCTGAAGGATTACTGCGCGTAACCATATAGATATGGTGTTTGCGATTATGCGACTAACTTCTGTCGTGGACGAACCACGCCTTGTCTTGGAGCGTCGAATGAAAACTCGAACTGCTCGCACCGAGCCCAGGAGAACTTCACCATGTACGATTCCCACAATAGTCGATATCGGTGGGATGGTGAAGAACGGTCGGGTTTGCCTGGTAGTAGATTTTAGCAATAAAATCCCAGCATAACCCTAGATGTCCTGTTCCGTGCGTCCCATGCTCAAAACGGATCCGGGTTGAGTCGACCACATGTAGTTCGCTCACCCGTACCGCCATTGCTAATGCCAAGAGAAAACCATTGTTTCCTTGGTGAGGTCCAAGCTCCTCACAGCGATAGCCCGTTCGCGGAGCTCTCTATACTATACCGAGAGTGTAACGAAGGTGTCACGCGCTGGGAAGGAGCTTGAAAATGAGGATGCAATGAGGGGCTCGAAGGGGGCCCTTGCAAACCTCGAAGTACCACGTTCAAGTCCCAATCAGGTGGCTGGAACTTGGCCTTCTGATCCTCAAACCTGAATGAGCATAATATGGCCTGTAGTTCCGTGACCTTAATCACACTGTGATTTTCCGGAAACGGCCAACACTAAGATAATTGCAGCCAATTACGTAGTAATGGTGCTACCTTCCAAGTGTTTTTGGGTACGCAATGTAGGAGGTATTCCTCTAGGAATTGTGACGCAATCGTAGGGTCTTGATTCTTTTCTTCCCTGTAAAAGGTCTCAAGTGATCCCCACTTGTCATCGTCGTCTCTGGGAGAGTAACGATGAACTAAAGCTATAGCTTTGCTGCCCGTGTCGAAATAACCCTTCGCACTTGAACGCCTTTTAAAGACGAACCATGCGTGCAGACGTTGGGTGAGGCAATTTTCTGTTGAGGGTGGATGAGTAGGTTGGACCACTGTGAGAGGGGAAGTGAATCGTTTTAGATTTTTCCGAGCTTGACGAACTACCCTCTCGCCGGTTACCATGGTGCGACCAAAGGAGAGATCGAGATACCTTGTCTCCTTGATCCCCTGTAGCACCTTGGAAGTAAAAGTGGTGGCAGAAGAGTTTTAGTTCTTTGCCCTTCCCAAGTGATACTGAACTGTCCACCGCCCAAGTCTGCGGATCCGGCAACGGGGAGATATACGTCATGAGTTGGTGGCCTAGGCAAGTAATAAACAAGTCAATGTTTGGTTGCCTGAATTCCTGAAGCAGTAACTGGAATGCTTCTGTGAGAAATTTCCACTCAGTGGGAGCCACCCTGTCTGGACGTGATAAAGTGTCGGCCAGTATGTTTCTACATCCGGGGATGTGCTGAACTATGAACCTTAATCACAGCCGATCCACTAGATGGAAGAAATCTGAATGTCCTTAGAAGTGGAGAGTGGGAGTGTGTTGTTCCCCGATTGCACAGGCACCACACCGCAGTGCTGTTGTCTGTGGATATAGCGAGTCGGGCTAACTGTAGTTGATTCTGCCAATGTGATATAGCCAGAATTAAAGCTTCCAACTCCAAGTTGTTTATGTGCCACTTCCATTGTGCGCCGGGCCATAGCCCTGAGCTTATCTGGTCTTGTAAGTGAAGACTCCACCCCTGAAAAGGGACGTCCACAAACAGGTGTGTATTCGGGGAAAATCCGAATAAACAGACTCCGCAGACATTCAGCGCCACAAATTGAGGCTCTAGCTTAGTTGGTAGAGTGATGGCCTTGAGTGGATCCTGACTCCTGATGTAACGGTTCAGGAAAAAAATTGAATTGGTCGCTGTTGTAAGCGGCCCATGCTAGTTAACTCCTGTGCCGAGGTGATTAACCCTAGCAACACTTGCCACTGGCGAAGTGTGTGTGGTTGGTGTAGAGTAGATGACAAAAGAAGTAGACACTTGTGCCATCTGTCCCTCGGTACAGATAGGATATCCTGGTCTGTCTTAAACAGGTCTCCTATGAACTGAAGTCAATAGGAAGGAGAATACTCCCGACTTCGCCTCGTTGATTGTCTATCCCAATTATTGACATGTGTTGATGATACAGTAGATCGCCCTCCATCTACGACTCGAACCAAGTGTTCGTCACGTGTAGATAGTTATTGGCTTCATTACTCCTGTAAATAGCCATAAGTGTCACTGACATGTCAAATGGGAAATACTACCATTGGTAGTGAACCCCAATGAACTGGACCTGAAAAGTCTACGGTTGGGATGGATAGTCGAGACTGATGAAGAATCAAACGTTCGTTGAACACAGAGATTGTGGATCATTCTCATCTTGTCTGGGTCCTTCATGAGTACCAGGTAGGTGTGAGGATAAAACCCCGGAGTAAAGACTGGGTTGTGAACCCACTCTACAGCTCTTCTTACCAACAGTATGTCTATGTTGGATTTTCCCAATCAAACTGTGGTCAACGGTGGGGTTAACTCTACCCTTATACGGACACCATGATATAGTGCGATAAGTACGAAATCGTCCTTGAGACTTGTCTCTGCCACTCCCTTTCTCAGTAAGGGAATGCTGGTCTTCCCTGAGAAACGCGCGTCTAGGCTTATAATTCCCTGACTTGGACTTTCCAAGCTTTTTGGGAACTTGACGTGCGTGTCTGCGATCTGTTCGTTGAACAGGGGAGTAGATGATCAAGGTTGACGTAATAGACTGCCCTTGAAACCAGCATCTCAGTTGGAAACGCTATAAAGTCTTGGGTGTAACGGTAATCACCGTCAGAACGGTCTCAAGATGAGTTTTCCTGTGGTCAAACTGACGCTGTAGGAAAAACACCATAGTTTGGAAGTGATCTAATCAGATAGGGTTATCCTCTAATAGATTCTGATCCACTGCAAACATTGACGATATTGGTCGCTTAAATCACGGAGCAAATGTGAGTTTTGGAGAAGGCTTCCTCCAATGACCTCGTGGTGTCCCTCTTATTTACCCTGTTATCAGGGGAGGGCGTTACTGACACGAGATGGTCTGCTTCCCAATCGGGTACATGTGCTAAGCTGATCATGTGCCGGTTACGTAACCGAGTACACTGTAAGCCTTGGGCTAACGTCATTGTAGAGATGATTGATACGCAGACGCTGCGCTCAGCGCAGGTCTGGAATGTTGGAACAGCGCTAAGCTGATCCTGCGTCACTGGCGTGATAGGAGCGCTTGGGTATCAGTCAGACGCTGCGCTCGGCGCAGGTCTATGCTGGATATGTTGGAACAGCGCTAAGCTGATCGTGCGTCACTGGCGTGATAGGAGCGCTTGGGTATCAGTCAGACGCTGCGCTCGGCGCAGGTCTATGCTGGATATGTTGGAACAGCGCTAAGCTGATCGTGCGCCGATTGCGTAATAGAAGTGCTTTGGTTGTAGTCAAGTGCTGCGCTCGGCGCAGATAAATCAGACACAAAGCTCAAAAGTATTGACTGGATCAAAGCTTGTGTCTAATCTACCCCCATCATAGCATCTCGATACGCTGGTGCTGTCGCCGACGTCACAGATTATCATACATGTATCTGGAAGTGTCCGGCGGCTGAAAAAATAGGAGCAGTTACGATACTCACAAAATCCTCCGGTATTGTTGATTTCGGTGGATGGTGTACTTCTGCAATCACAGTCGTCATAATACCTGCCGATAATAACGGTTGGGTGGTAATGACAGAACCATATGTCATTCGCTATTCTGCGATAGTGACATTCCTCTCGTCTCACGATGGAATAACTGCAAAATATGATTGTGAGTAATCTGCTTTTATATAGTAAACTCGTTGGATTAGAGATTTACATAAAAATTACCTTTTGAATTTTGGCGAGCACATCTACGTGCATGCCTATGACCGTGGATAAAGAGCTTTGGGCGATTATTCCACGACAATATGTACACCGAGCAAACATAATTATGTTACGCAATTAAACCATTGAAGAAATGGTACTGGAAGAATGCCGTAGAATTGAACAGTAATCTATCGGCAAAAATACGAATTGCAAGGGTATACAATATTTTTATATACGCAATTCAATGTAAACCAAGGCTATTTACATTTAGAGATTGGAGAGCACATCCGCGCGCAAACCAACCAATCGTGGATGATAATCTTGTAAGGTTTTTTCCACGACAATTAGTAAAATGCTCAAAGGTATGTTACGCAATGAAACCCTTGTTGATGAGATAATACTGGAAGAGTGCCGAAGAATTTGAACACTAATCTATCGGCAAATTTATGAGTTGCAAGGATATACAATATTTTTGTATGCGCAACCCAATGTAAACCAAGGGTATTTATATTTTCATTTAGGGTTTGGAGAGCACATCTGCGCGCAAACCAAACAACGTGGATGATAATCTTTGTAAGATTTTTCCCACGACAATTAATACCACGCTCAATCATAAGTTACACAATTACATATATATATGTATATTCAATGTCTGTACATATAGAGTAGGGAAAGGGCCACCTAAGTTGGATAACTTTTGCCCAATCCCGTTGACCATATATGTCAATAAAATATGTTTAAATTAAACACAATTACCCCATTGTTGATGAGGCGGTACTGGAAGAATGCCATAGAATTGAACAATAATCTATCGGCAAAAACTACGAGTTGCAAGAGTATACAATAGTTCATATACGCAACTCAATGTAAAACCAAAAATACCAACAAAAAACTATTTAATCGCATAAACATAGGTACGCAATAAAAGAATTGTTGATGAAGCGGGACTGGAAGAAAGCCGTAGATTTGATATTAATCTATCGGCAACCATATTTTTAACGAGTTGAAAAAGTATACAATAATTTTAGTATACGCAACTCACTGTTACGCCAAAGCTAGTAATATTTAAGAACATAAGAATATGTTATACATACGTAGCTGAGAATTGTAAACAATATGACTACCTTGGCAGGCAAACGATTGTAACACAATTCAAAATGGCGACGAACAACAATATATTTGGCGGGAAAAAAGACAAGCGTCTTTTCACGCCTAATTAATTCACATAAAACTACACAACATGGTGAAAGTAATATGAAAAGAATACATCACCCATCGCAGATCAATTTTTAAGATTGTAGACAAACTGAAGGTCTAAAATTAATCCAAAAGGAGAGCTCCGCTTGGACACGTCCTAGCTGTGCTGCGACAAGCAGTGATGTGAAGATGACCTTAGGTGTCATCAAGGTCACAGGACAGCGACGGAAGGCCACTGATTGGGACTTGAGAACAACAACTTTATTTCTTCACCCAGGACCTTCGCAGCGCTGTCCTTCTAGTTGTCGTAAGTAAGCAGTGAATGCATTAAGGAGTAATGCAGGATAAGTAAAAAATTATATGAACTGAAGCTTGTGAATTGCATTTTTGTGTTCCTAAGATACCTTAGTTGTAAAATATAATGAGAATTCAAAATGTGATTTTTTTCACCCATAACATCCATTATCTCATGGTCGGTCACATTTACTGAATAACAGTCTCCATTGGCCATTGACATGACGAATAGAGTTGATCCCTTTAATATTTAGCCCCCCCCCTCCCCTCTTGTTAAGAGTGAGTGAGAAGATTTTATGCTGCTTTTGACAATATTCCAGCAATATAATGACAGGGGACACCAGCAATGGGCTTCACACATTGTACCCAAGTGGGGAATCGGACACTTTGAAGCGATAGAAACAAACAGTTTTAGGCCACTTGTCCTTATTATGATAATATATAGCAAAACCCTTAAAAAGTGCATATTTCTACTAGTCCTTATGATACCTCAACTATTGGGCAGTTGGGCAAGGACTATAGGACCAGTGCCAATTTCTAAGGCTGCCCTTTGGCGCGATGAGCGAACGCTTTAACCACTGGGCTCCAATTCTTGTTTAGAAAACATAAATCTGACCTACCCCCACTTGGCATCCACAGAGTCGATGTCTGCTGGACTGATGACGGTGGGTAGGTCTTCGTACAGCTGACAGAGCCTCTCCGTGAGGTGTCCACAGAACTTGGTGTCTGCGACAATACACTTGGCGGCCGACTCCTCGGGGAGACTCACACACAGCATCAGACCTTCACATGCCTTCACCGAGATGCGCGCATCCTGGAGACAGCAGTGAATGAGTTAGGGTTAACACTGTCTTGAACAGTACAGATCACAGTTATGGCATGTCGCTTGATGTGGGAGGAAAGTTCAAAGTAATGCAGGTCTTAGATGTTGGCGATTACTTTGATGTAACCAACAAGTTTGTTTGTTGTTTAACGCCGCACTCAGCAATATTCAAGCTATATGACATCAGTCTGTAAATAATTGAGTCTGGACCAGACAATCCGGTGATTGACATCATGAGCATCAATCCACGCAATTGGGATACGATGATATGCATCAAATAAGTCAGTGAGCCTGACCACCTGATCCTGTTAGTCGCCTTTTACAGCAAGCATTGGTTGCTGAAGACCTGTTCTAACCCGGATCTTCATGGGTCTAGCCCACAAGTTTGTGTATGTTACTGGCAAACTTAGAAACATATTCAGAGCTAACCAGGATTTGAACCCACAATATGTATATAACTGAATATCACTTGGCAGTGGTCAGGGCAACAGGACAACAGGACTACTGGTCAACAAGGTCAAGTCAAGGTCAAGTAATGTTCATCCGGGTTTTATCTGATTACAAAATATACAAAATAATCACAAACAGCAAAAAGACTAAACATGTTAAATAGAAAATAATTCTAAGGCAATTTCACAATGACGATCTACTCACTGGACTAGACATGAGAGAGATGAGAGCATCCACAAGACAGAACTCCAGGTTGTTTGTGGCCGTCGGCTGAGACGACACCATCAGTGGTAGAGAAGGACGACCCTTGTCTTGAGACTTTCCTGGAGCCTGAATTTACAGCTCAAATAAAACAAGCATTCAAACATGAGTTAACAACTGTATACACAAAACATGGCCCACGTCATTGAAAATAACCATTCTGACAATTAATGGTACACAGATTTGTTTTTAGTTTGTTGTGTGTTTGTTTTTAACGCCACACTCAGCAATATTCCAGTTATATGACGGCGGTCTGTAAATAATCGAGTGTGGACCAGACAATCCAGTGATTGACATCGTGAGCATCGATCCAAGAAATTGAACATAGAAATTGACTGATGAAGTTAATTGCTTTTGTTTCCATGACAACTTACCTCAATAAAGAAGTTGACTAGGTATGGATCAGTCTTGATCTTGGCACAAACAGTACACAGAAACTCAATCTCCTCCTTCTCAGTGGGGGCAGCTCTCACTTCCCCGCAAGTCTTCACCAGGCGCTGGAACCAGAAGCCACAGGAGTCGTCACTAACTGACCTCTTACTCCAAAACAAGGAGTCGCAACTAGTTTATATGTGTGTAGGCATTTGGCCCATATTTATGGTCATATTTGTTTTTGTTGGACGATTCTATATCAACATGTAATTCTCGCGATCACGTGCACGGGAGCCTTGAGGTCAGACTGGTTCCATGTAAAAAATAATACCCGGCAATAGCGATCAGCTGCTTCGCTTAGGGTTATTATTATCTTAAATATGTTTAGTAAAAGCTGCATCTAAATTAACAAGATATTGGAATATATTATTCCTGATAAAAAAATAGTTTCAGATACAACTTTTGCCAATCCTTGCATTAAAATACTGTAAAGTTATATCATTTGGTGTGTCTTGACCGAATCACCGGTAGATTCCAAGAAAACGTGTGTACAGCTGATTGCTGTGTCCGGCTTAGTTTACGAGAAAATACACAAGGTAATCTTAATCCCTGGATATAAAACAATGCCTAGCTGAACAAAAAATACAATTTAAACGGTAAATCAACATGATTGGTGATTTTTTATCTCAAATTTCGAATTTGTACTGACGAAGTTTCTCATCACCAGTTCGTTTGCCGGACTTCGCTGAAGGGGTACGGTGTAATTTTTTTCTGTGCATAATATTCAAATTTCTTTTTTTCCAAAATATTGAACCTGCTAGAGGGGGGTGCGCATTATACACGCGTGCACACTATACTCAAGAAAAAACGGTACAAGGAATGCAATGCCAATAGTACAATGTGTAACACATTTCATGGATTTTACGATGTCATGTCTTTTTTCTATGCATAATAAATATAATATTACGTTTTAGTAAATCATCCTGAGTTGTACACAACAAACTTGTGAATTTCTATATAGTTGGAAATGTCCAACAAATTCTGGCAAATAAACTTATGTAGTTCAATATAATGTGTACAGATCAATAAGAAATGATATTAATCTTCAACAGACATATTGCAAACAGGACGCATACGTAAGCATGATTCAACAGATTGCCATCTACCCTCGTTCTGTCGTAAAGGTAAAACATTACATCTTAATTTGATAAAAACATGTACATTTTTACTATTGTAAATACTCAAATATCTTTCAGGTTGAAAAACATATCGGGTTCTACTTTTGAGTGTTGACATCCAGTTCTGATGAAATTCATCTACAAGACATGTTTTAACTACCCCAATGAAAGCTATATTGTCCACATCAGACCGGTTTAACCATACCATGCGAAAATAAAATGTTACAAACAGATGCTACCCAAGTATTATGACCAATGTTGTCTAAATACATCAACATGTTAAATGCTTTTCGTGCATTCTGGTTAATTTTAACCAATACTTTATAATACCGACCTGTGCATTGTCATAAAGGGGATAGCCACAACATTCACCATAGACAATGGCATTTGGAGTTTGATTTCCCACTTTTAAAAAAACATTTACATGCCAAAAGATGAACTCGTTCTCATTGATCATACCGCTGGTAACCCCATACTTCTGACCCATATAAAAGTATTGGTAATACCCGTGTATCAAATATTTTTTAAATATACTTTTGGGTCAATCATTCCTGTTTTATTTAAAATCATATTTATTTCCATCAAAGTCTGTTTTCCATGATTTGCTAGATCAGCACTTTGTCATCTTGAAAGTTGAAGAAAATATTACACCTAAGTACTTAAACTATGGGCAGGGGGGTGTCTCTGAATGTCCATTTCTCCTTGGAAGATAGGATGCCTCCCCTTCTGAAAACAACTACGTTTGATTTTTGTATGTTAACAGTTAATCCCCATGTATCTGAAAAAACCCAATAGATTCTGAGACAAGGATGACATCATCTGCAAATAACAGTAACAAAATTTCAAAAATTTCTGGAAATAATTGTATGCCATGTTTACCATGTTCATGTATAACTTTTGATAGTTCTCCTATAAATAGAGAAAATAGCAAAGGGCTAAGTATGCAACCTTAGCATACACCATTTGGACAGTCAAAGAAATCGGTATATGAGGAATTAACAGAAGACTTTTAGGGCTGATGACATTTTTCCACCTAGGCCATTCATTACAATACAAACAGTACCATAGTTTATTTCTTTTTACATAGTCGAAGGCTTTCTTCAAGTCTTTAAATGCAACTTATAGTTTTTCCTCTTTCTAATCAAACACTTTTCTATAATAGAGTGTAAAGTAAAAATGTGATCGATGGTGGAATACCCAGATTTGAAACCTGCCTGCGACTCTGGTATTTGGTATTCTGGTACTCTGATAGTGAACTTTCAAATCAGCCAATCAGCTTCTAAGTTCTTGGTATGAGGGAGCCACGCATTCGAAGCAGCATATCTGATTTCTGTATATGTAAAAGGAACCAAACAGCCAGTTCTAAATGTAAATAATAAAGAATATCATTATACTGTTGATGATTTATACACCCTGTTTTTTCTAAGTGTCATGGCATCACCACCCACAAGGGAGTACCAACCAAGGAATAATTGTGTTCCGTGTGGGTTTTCTTGTCTAAACCAAATTTCACAATCAAGGTGGCAAAGAAATGAAACCAAATTGTTTTTGAAAGCAGATATCCAATAGGCACAAAGTCCCATTTGAATCTGTACTTTACTAAGAAAGTGTTATCCCAAATATAACATTTGTTACATTTGGCCACTTTCTATATGGCATTGTGTATGCAAAGCTTTCGGCCATGGGAACCGTGCCAATTTACACTTGTCAGAGGGGTACACAAAGTATGTGATCTAGACTACCAGTGGTCGGACTTTCATTTTGTGTAAGCCTCGCTAGCCAGGAGGGTTAGATCACTGACTGTGTGCTGGCAATTAGGTGCCTCACTTTGGGAGTGTCAACCCAAAAATGTACTTGAACCTATGCTTTACTAAGAAAGTGTGATCCCAAATATAACATATGTGGAAGAAACATATCCCCAAGTCAATGCCTGTCTACCTGCACAGCTCTGTGTACGTTGATGTGCGGCAGGAGCGGGTGCTTGATGCGTGACAACATCTTGGTGAAGAAGCTGAGGATGATCTGCTTCATCCCAGGCGGGTGCTGGAAGAGTCAACAAGATGGTAATAGCGTGGGATATTGCCGACAAGCATGACATACTCATATCCCCTGCCTACCACCATTGGCAGTCAAAGTTGTTGCCATGGAAACTCAAAACAATAAAAAAAATTAAAATCCCACACTATCAAGTCACCAGATCACCAATAGACCTGTCAATGTGTCAAGTTTGGTTGAGATATCTCTCATATTTTTTTAATTCTGCTCTGGAAAGGAAACGTGGCGGATGGACAGCATATCCCCTTCCACTTCACAGTGGGGGATAATGATTCAGATCACAGACGAGTGTGTACACATACAGCAGCACAAAGGATGAAGCAGGGCTTAATTTAGCTGATAAACACACACCAGTGCAACCTATTATTGAAAAGTGCAACCTAATATTTATGTCTACATGCACCAAGTGCATGTAGTATTAAAATTTGAGTCTGACTTACCCTTACTTTTCAACCCGCCAATGTTTTTTGAACTCACTCAGTACCTTTAATCTCTATGTTCCATACCACACCACTATCCCGTGTGTGTAATTTGTCATGCTTTGTTGGGCTTGTCATCAAAGTGTGGGTACTTCAAGATTATGCACACAGGTTCCTTTCACTTTTTACACCAATATGTCATTAATTTACGTAAAATCGTGATACAGTCGTTACAGTCGTCGATATTATTTATTTCGACTCGTTTATGCATGTATGTTTCGACTTTAATAAATTTATGGGACCAGGGTGAAACCTGGTTTGGTCTGGTGCAACTCAGATTTTTCTGAACATACACCTGGTGCAAGTTAAATCAAGTTCCGTAAATGGAGCCCTGCTAAGGTCCAACAGCCCTTACCTAGCAACATACTGACATAATGAACAATACTCACAAGTTGCCTAGGTGATAAAACACCATCACGTGCTGCACATAGCCATGTTTGTATTCGTGTATCTTCTGAGATATCACAATGTTTTTACGAACTACAATTTGACATTTGGCAAGCAGCTTCAATATGACTATAATAATATACTACACTTATACCATGTATACCACAGAACAAGCCGACCCTCATCAGCTGGCCCCCGACTTCATGGTCATACAGCGCATACTTTAGGGATGTAACGTCAAACAGATGTAACCATGGTTTTCCTAGAGATACATTTTGTCCAATGTGGTATTTCTTGACATGACCACTGGACCATGGAGGCAGTCGTTTCAAAAAGGCAGACTGTACCTATATAAAAGTGACAAGAGGGCGATTGGAGGCCTTTCTGGATCTAAGTTATTCTTATCTACTTGCCAAGTCCGTTTGGATACCTATTTGAAAACACCAAATTCCTGCCAGTTTCCAAACCTATTCTGGATTACAGAGCAGAGATAGGCCTCTTTCAAGGCAATCGACTAACAATTTCTTCCACACCTGTGAGTGCACAAACGTTAATTCTACCACTTGTTACTTATCATGCTTGGTGCTGCTGTCACTTTTTTACCCATAGTACTGCCCTTTTGATGCTGAACCTAAAACTGTGTGATTAACTATAACTTATTGATTATCCAGTCAACTTTTGTGAGTCATTTACTGATTTCACAATTTATTTCAAATTTCTGGGTTGATCTTTGTGTATGAATTTGGAAATAGACCCATAGCAATGTCATCATGTTTATCCAACATGTACATCAATCCATATTAGATAAATAAATTCTTCTTACATTCATCATGTTAATAGGTATTCTAACATTGCATTCAGTGCAATAATGTACAAGATATAAATAAGGCCTCTTCCTCTTTAATGGAGGGGGGCATGGGTGGCCCAGTCGTCAAAGGTGCCACAATTCACTGTGCAGAGTTGCATCCCTTGGGCACGCCAGAAACCTATGATTGTGGGTTCAAATCCCAGTTCGCCCCAATTATGTTTCTAGGTTTGTCAGAACTATACCCCTGCTCGTGGGTTTAACCGTGGTAAACGTCTAAGACCTGCATCACTTGGGGCTTTCCTCCCACATTAAGCTGACACACCGTGATTTGACTGGAATACTGTTTAAAGCGGCGTTAAACACAACTCACTCACTCCTCTTCAATGGTCCTTTTGTCAGTGAAACACAATGTGTCAAGTCATCTCTACAAAGTCACAATGTGTCATAACTAAATTTAATTTGGATATTTATCATTCCTATTTGGGAATTTTTACTGAATATCGCCTCTGTGCATCATCGTTTTAAAAAAAAATTACAATAGATTTATAACCCTACAAGACAGTGGGGCAGGTGACCCATAACAGTTCTCCGTCCATCTTCAAAGTTGAAGAAACAATGCAAACAATTACTTGAGAATGTACAAGGAGTTAGAATAAAACTGCATACATAAGTAGTCTTAAAATTATCAGCCAGACAGTCGGGCAGGTGGAATAAAATTTCATGCAGCCCGACAGAAAAGTTATCAAAGGCAGTTATTTCAGACATTGCTCTTGATAAATCCCTTCGTCTGTACTTACATCCGTCCTGCCGAGCGTGTAGAGTGTCTCCATCAGCTTGTGCTGCAGGACGTACTCCAGACACGGGCCTGTGGTGCCGCTCTCCAGGGACAGCCCCTCCTCCTCGTACAGGATCCGCATCATCTGGTCCAGGTGCCCTGGTATCTGGGTCTGCTCCACATGCCCGCGCTCACCTACACACATTCCGGAGCACCTTTAGAATACAGTACCACAACTTCTCGTGAGGACGGTCTCTGCCGTAGGTCACATGTCTCAAAGACAAGCAACCAGTTTTTGTGAGAATCCGTCGGACGCAAACTCACAACCTTCGGATTGTTAGCCCGACAGCTAACCGACTGAGCTACGTCCACACTGTGAAACAAAGTGCAAATTTACCTAGTCATGCCTACGACGTTACGGAACTGAACGAAAAGGGTCGAATAGGTGACAGACCCTTACGAAGGTTAGGGGTAGGCATGGTGTCTCATGACTTTAGTCTATCGACACTTACAAATGATCCCGATGCAATTTGGCACACTCGTCCCATTCCGTAATCTACAAGATACCGGGTGGTGAGGAATGATCCAATATGGCGCGAACTGAAAACAGATCCAGGCTTCAGATGTCAGACGTCGAACTCGCGAGTACGCATGAATGACGTGTAATTTAATAAGTCGGCTGGTGGATTTTCTGACAGGGTATTGTCACGTGTTTGAAATGTTTGTGGTACTGTATTCTAAAGGTAGGCCAACATTCCACATGCTCTCAACACTGTCACCGACATCTTATCTGAGGTCATTCTGTCATGATCTTAGATAATGTGAGAGATAAGGGTGTGCGGTATTACAGGTATATCGCTAATTCGAGGTTCATTCTTTCCATGATACATATCATTATATCATTTTTTGAAGCTCAATATATTGGGTGATTACAAATAACGATCTTTATCATGTGTTAAATGTTATACACTTGGCAAATGCCTTCATTGCCCCGGAGAACCAAAATGGCTGTGTATTTATTGACTGAGTAAATGCCATGTTGTACCAGCATCTTGTTTTGTTCCATTTGTGAACTTCAGTTCATACCTTAACGTACCAAGTTGCTTTTGAATTCAAAATTTAGAATTATACAATATATCATGATACGTTTCGCAATTAGGTCTTGTGCATCCCGAAATATTGTGATATTCTTTAAATGTCCAATACCATCTCAAGTAAGAGAAAAGTTGATTATGGCGCGAAAACATGAACTAGAATAGAATGCAATCAAGGGTGGCAGTAAATAGAATCAAGAGACAAAAACAAATAATTAACAATACACATAGATATAAGAATAATTCTAATATACTCAATGCCAAAAGAAATGCGAATACCATACATGTTGGTTAATATATGAAGAATTACTCATATACAAGAGATATTAAATTGGTTCGATGAACAAACTAACATACTGTTAAAATGTGTGGACCGATTCTCATGAACGCATCACATGTGACGTCGTAGATCCATGACTAGAGATGCAGGATTAGCGTGTAAAGTTTGAAAATTATGTGCAGCATATTGTGATAAGAACAAAGACAATCTGTGGTAACACTTGACAGATTGTTAGTTCCGTGTTTAGGTCGTACACATTGGAAACATCTCTTCTTATCGAACATACTTCTCTATATGTTTCTATGGTTCACGTTTCTTTTGGCAGCAAGTATATTAATTGTGTTTAAAATGTTGGAAATATCTTACAACATGTACGAGAAAGACAGGGGACAAAGCTTGAATAAATGCTGGTTCTCCAGAAACATTACTCAACACGATGTAACAAGCCGACAGATATTTAGGACAAGAATGCGGACTGTACTGACCTTTGTTATCGACGAAGTAGCTGGTGACGGCCTTCCAGTGATGGATGAACTCCTCCTGCAGGGACAAGTTCGGAGCAAACTGCAAACAACAACATCAACATCATCACATGACTCTAGCCAATCTCATCCTTCTTCTCTGATCCTTTCACATCACATCAATGTATGACACTAGATACATGGGACACTGGTGCAGCTTAGTCATATAAGCCCGAGCCGTGATATTGCCGGAATATTGCTAAAGTAGTGTAAAACCATGCTCACTCACTCATATAAGATTGTTTAGGATGTCTGAGCAGATTCTGTTTGATCCCAAATCCAAAGATACGGAAGCTCACCTTGTTTAGATGACTAAACACTTGAGAGACAATCTGCTCAAAAATTTCATATCATTTACAAAGTTTACTAGTGTGTCATTATTGAATTCAGGCACAAACATTTTAAACAGTTTCTGATTTTTCTCAAATGACTTACGTAAGCATGGTAAGTAGTAGAATTTTAACATGTTTGTCTCTTTCATAAATATAGATGATAAGCAACATGAGAGAAGCATAGAGCAACATGCATGGTGTCATGCTTGTTTCTTATCATGCTTATTTGACTCAAAGTGAGTTTAGAAATGCAGGATTTATTCTAACAATGCTAAACCAGTTCTGGATAAGTTTGGATTCTGACAAACTATTGGCACCAAATGACAGGGGTAGATTCTTGTACACTGGTCTGGAGTGGGGAAGGTCTTTGTATACAGAACAGTACTCATGTAGCATTTTGAGGGTATTTTAATGTCTTAACTTGGTTTCTTTGTATATATCTATTTTACAATTATTGGATGTAACATGGTGTTTTATATTTTATGGTTTAAAGGTAAAATAAGAATAAAAATAAAGTAAACGTCTGTACATTATAAAACACTGACCCACTACAACAATATTTGGAGAATGATTCCTTCCTGTTCGTACATCTGACAGAAAGGCATCTAAAGTGCATGTGCTGTATATCTAACGTAGATCAGTTGGATGGAACCAGTGGAAAATTCAAACACTAAACAATGCAGAGCCGTATTCTTACTGACAGGCATCTGAAGTCCTGTTTGTAGCTGTATGTCATAACGGATCAGACAATTTGGTCATAATGGCTCCTTTTGTCTCATCAAACTGGACGCCTATCAGTCAAAACGGACCGGTGGAATATCAAATAATTTGCTGCTGATCAAACTGGAAAGCCTGCCTATCTCCCTTGACGGTAGCTTGAAAGTAGTATTTCAATACAGGGACAACCAAAATAATACTTGTCGTTGTACACAGGTTTCAGTGACAAGTGTTTGGCTTTACAATCATTAGCAGCATACGTACGATTTATGTGCGAAAGTAATCTATTCAACAATAAAGATCTCGTCTACTGATCCAGATAACAACAGAAACACAGCCAAATTACCCGCGTACTTCATCTGTCAAAATATCATATTAATGACTTGAGTTCATTTTACAGTCTTTCAGTGCCACATTTACAACGGGCTTTAAAATCGTGGATTACTCATTGCATAGCCAGCCTGATACAGGCTAATACTTGTAATTCAAGTTAAGTAGCCCAATCTGCGCCCCTGCTAGATTGGTAAATGGGTATCAGCTGTGCCTATGTCATTGTTCATATTTGACTTAAAAAAACAAGAACAGCTGACGAACGCGTACCGAGTCCACGGCATGCTGTATAAGAGTGGTAAATTTGGTGAACATTTTCTTCTGCATTTGGGTCGGTCGTAGCTGGAAATCTTCGGAAATTAAGACAATTCTTCTACACACTTGTCATTCTCAGTGAACGGAAAAATCAAAACATTGAAACTGGGTGTAGAAGATAACTTCCTGTTTAGACCGGAACCACGTGTGAAACAGTATTCTCCATACGACTTATTAGAAATGTAAAGCGGCGTAGCCTTATGATTCTCGGGCGGTCGTCCTAAGTCCAAAAGGTGAAGGTGACTGGTTACAATACCATTTTAGTGTATTTATGTTACATCACCAGAACGACAAATCTCCTCACCACCCAGACATATGTACGCGATGATATCATCGGAGACCTATAGAGGGACGGTGTACGAAATCGTCAGTATGTCGTGCACTCGGCGTCGTTCGTCAGCTGATCGTGTTTTTTGTTACTTGACAATAATAAAATTAACGACACAGATGGGTACTCAAGTATGTAGATGCATTGAACGAAATCGTCACTATATATACAATACTGTGAAGATTTCGCACATACATCTAAACAGTCGGGTAGCCCTGAACAAATAATATATTTATAAACATCACCTGCTATTCTATAATAGAAATAACGTCACACAAGCATATTGTCTTTGTTGTTTTACACCGCACTCAGCAATATTCCACCAATATAACGGCGGTCTGCAAATAATATAATTTTGAACGGACAATCCAGTGATCTATTTTGTGAGCTATTATCCCTGCCCTCGGTAACTAGCATAATATGTTATAGTAAACCAGGAAAGTAGCATAAGCCATAACAAATAGTGAGTATGGTTTTACGCCGCTTTTAGCAATATTCAAGCAATATCACCGCTGGGGACACCAGAAATGTGCTTCAGGCATTGTACCTATGTCGGGAATCGAACCCGGGTCTTTGGCGTGGCGAGCGAACGCTTTAACCACTAGGCTACCCGGAATATTGCTGAAAGGGTGTTTAACAACAAACAAAGCTGATAAGTGATAAATACAAAATATCATAATTCCCTCGGGTAAATTAACGTACCTTTACCCTATATGATAAAGTTCAGAGGTGGTGCTCTCAGTTGATGTGAGGCGAGAAATGCCGACAGAAGAATAGGTCTTCAGCATGTGCAGCCCATGCTTGCAGTAAAAGGTGACTAACGGGATCGGGTGGTCAGGCTCGCTGACTTTGTTGATGCATGTATACCAATTGCATGGATCGATGCTCATGATGTCAGTCACTGGATTGTGTGGTCCAGACTCGATTATGTAGACCGACGTGATATAACTGGAATAGTGCTGAGTGCGGCGTTAAACAACAAATAAACAAACAAACAAACAAACAAACCAGATTATTGATATTCATAACATGCAGAGATCATTCAGAAACAAGGAAACCCAAGGTCACCAGGTGGCGCCACAGACCAGGAACTGCGACCTTCATAAAAGAAGTAGCTGAATGACCCAATCCGACTGCAGAGCAGTGTTCGAAACAATCGCCTGCCCGTAGGACCGTGGCAAGTAGATTTCGTGTTGGGCACGTAGTTTCAAAGGTGTAACCATGGCGGCCTCATGGCCTGCAGTAAATTTACGTGTGTATTTATTTGTCACAGAAAGCTGCAATATTTTGAATGAGTGCCTAAAGAGTTTAGTAACTTCTAAAGTCTTTGGCCCCTGATGACAGCCTAGCAATATTCAAACACTGCTGCAGAGACTAGGTAACCTTTGATTCAAGTTGTGCAAGCATGTAAGGGAGTATCTTTCAAATGATTAGGTATAGATTATTAACCTAATATTTAGCTTAACGTAATACAATAATGTTTTAATACCCCAACTTAATACTATATAAAACCACACTGCTACAATAATACACAGTACGCTACAGTTATAACGAACTGTAAGAGACCACTAACTGTAGTTCGTTATAACCGTAGTTCGTTGTAAACGTATATAACATAATTACAGCAAATGGACGGGACTAAAAAAAGTTCTTAAATCTGTCAGTTCGTTACAAGCGTGTTCCTTATAAACGTAGTTTACTGTATACTCAAAAGAAGTGAAAAAAACACCCGAATCTTTCATATTATTATAATTAACCTGTCGTGCTAAATGGCTACGACTTGTCACTATTGGCGTTCTTCCCACGCCCTTCCTATTCAAAGCAGCGTTACCCCAAACAGTGACCCCGCTGGCATCCCGAGCCAGTAGAGGTCGCCAACATGATGTTGGTCGGAAGAGGAGACTAAATATTTCGGTTGGTCTGGCTCGGTGACTTGGTTGATTGCCTGTCATCGTTTTGTTTGTTTGTTGTTTAACGCCGCACTCAGCACCATTCCTGTTATATGACGTCGGTCTGTAAATAATCGAGTCTGGACCAGACAATCCAGTGATTGACATCATGAGCATCGATCCACGCAATTGAGATATGATGACATGTATCAACCAAGTCAGCGAGCCTCTTACAACAAGCATAGTCGCCTTTTACGGCAAGCATGGGTTGCTGAGACCTATTCTACTCCGGATCTTCACGGGTTGCGTGTCATATTACCCCGACGGCCTGGATCTGCTCACTATATCAATCATTGGGTTGTCTGTTCCAGACTTGATTATTTACATGTCGCTGTCGTATAGCTGGAATATTGTTCGGCGTTAAACAACAATCAAGCAACCAAGCCAGGGAGTACAGATTCTCCGAGCGAAGTCGCATATTCACTCGTAAGCGGATTTCGGGTCGTGCGCGGCTGTATAGAGATTGTACGCACGCTTCAAAGAATATGCAGGGTTCAGGAAAACTAGAGGTTGATCAATGATGCTGTTGTCCATGTTCCACGCCGTCGGGACGCCGTGACACACAACCAGCCAAGTAACATCCCATTTAGCCTTCTCTTTTATACAGATTCATTGTGTCGGTTAACGACCAGTTTATACACAAGGTATGCAGAACCAACTGACCGGGTTATGTCCATCCCATGATCAACCGCCTCGAGTTGCAACTGGCATATTGTGGACTGACTCACTCACTCACTCACTTTGTTTGGTTGTTGTAAAGCATATTGTGAAGTATATTGTAAAGTCTATTGTAAAGTCTTTTGTAAGTTTGTTGTGAATTTGTTGTAAAGTCAGTTAAGTTTGTTTTAAAGTTTATTGTAAAGTTTGTTGTGAAGTTTATTGTAAAGTTTGTTGTGAAGTTTATTGTAAAGTCTGTTAAGTGTATTGTAAAGGTTGTTTTAAACTTTCATTAAAGTCTTTTGTAAAGTTTGTTTTGAATTATGATGTAAAGTTTATTGTAAATTGTAAAGTTTATTGTAAAGTTTGTTGTGAAGTTTATTATAAAGTCTGTTGTTAAGTGTATTGTAAAGTTTGTTTTAACTTTCATTAAAGTCTTTTGTAAAGTTTGTTTTGAATTATGATGTAAAGTTTATTGTAAAGTTGTTGTGAAGTTTGATTAATGTTATTAGATTTGTGTTAACATTGATGGAGATATTGCTGTTTTACTATTGGTGATAGAGACAGTCATATAATCACACATACATCCGCCGTAAGCCACTACACCATCGCCGAAGTAGCCATAAAAACCAGTGGTGGCCTTTCATGAAAGGAAATATTGTTTATGCACGGAGGGTGAACGCGATCATTGTGGTCAGACTTTAGTAGTCCATACTTTGTCAATATTTACCGAGTACGCGGTGAGCTTCCCGACACGGGTAAGTGTATGCCCTGGAATAACAATATTTACCCAAGATACCACTGTATGCTTATATAGGAAACACGTGTCCTATATCAAGGTACTCGCACCATCACTGTGTATGCTTGACAAACACCATGAAAACCCCAAGTGCTGACTATCACATGTACAACATTTCAATAGTGTTTTGTGTTGCTGTTTCATGCGCATGCTTTCATATAAAGCGAACACGGTCGGAATTATTTTCACACTTCACGTAAATTTCATTCATTCAGAAACTGTCAGCGCCTGTTTATGACATTCAGGTGGCGGTGGGGTAGCCTAGTGGAGTAAGCGTTCGCTCGTCACGTCGATAACCAGGGTTCGATTTCCCACATGATATCATATTGCTGGAATATTGATAAAATCGGCGCAAAACCATATTCCCTCACGTGTGACATTTAGCATTTCCATCGAATTTTTACCTTTATGCAAATCAGGTGCGTGAAGGATGCTCCCAGTAGGACAGGACATGCGTACTCCTTTCTGACACAATGGGTTTCAGTGATCCATTCATATAATTTCACCTCTAGTTTGCCTGTTACGCCCAATGGAATCTGTTTCGGCGGATAATCGAGACTTCGGGTCTTCTCTGACGTTGACGTTATATATTATAAGCTGTGGCTGGCGTTTGAAGTTCTGTAAATACAAAGCATGAGCAGCTAGATTGCTGAAAACTGTTGACAGCTGACTTAGTCCCTCCAAGCAAACTTAAGTCATTTCATTTCATATTAAAAGTGACCCGTGAAGATTCCGGGGTAGAGTAGGTCTTCAGCAACCCATGCTTGCCGTAAAAGGTGACTATGCTTGTCGTAAAAGGCGACTAACGGGATCGGGTGGTCAGGCTGGCTGACTTGGTTGATGCATGTCATCGATCCCAATTGCGTGGATCGATGCTCATGATATTAATCACTGGATTGTCTGGTCCAGACTCGATTATTTACAGACCGCCGTCATATAGCTGGAATATTGCTGAGTGCGGCGTTAACCAACAAACCAACAACAAATCATATTAAAAGTTAAAGAACCACAGTAAATATGAAACGTCCTCGCCAGAGAATAATCAGTCTTGGTTACCTGCCGAAACAGATGTGATTGGGTTAAAAGGCGTAACAGTGGTGAGAATTATATGAACGAATCATTGAAAATCAATGATGACACCAGGTGTTCGCGAACATGTCCTGTACTGACCACAATTTACTTAAAGAAAGTAACGAATTCGTTTCCCAAATTAATCTCCAAGAAGCCTGCAGTGAATTCTGGTGTCAGTGTCGTCATGTTCGAAGACAACATATGGTATGAATATTTCATTCCTCTAGCTCAGACACCACTAGCTCCAGTTTACGGTTACAGATAAGTTGTATGCACATTTATACTTAACACGAACTTGTTTATATGTATATATTCACCAACTGATTTTTTCCCGGAGCGGTATTTATATAAGTAATGTTTTGTTTGTTTACCAATCCGGATTTCATTTATGAAATATCAAAATGTTTAAACCAATATGAACTCGCTGGTATCTCAGCTCACACCTATCAATGACATGGTACATACAGATTTATAACATGTACGACTATTTTAACATACAAAGATCTCTGACTGCTGCTGCTTTCAGGGATACGTTTCACGGGCAGCTCCAGAGGGGTCACCTAACGTGCTAATAGGGGGCACGGGTGGCCCAGTCGTCTAAGGCGCCGCAATTCGCTGTGCAGAGTTGCGTCCTTTTGGTACGCCAGAAACCTATGATTGTGGGTTCGAATCCCGGTTCGCCCCGATTATGTTTCTAGGTTTGTCAGCACCATACCCGTTCTCGTGGGTTTCACCGAAGTGGTAAACGTCTGAGACCTGCATCACTTCGGGCTTTCCTCCCACATTAAGCTGACATGCCGTCATATAACTGGAATACTGTTAAAAGCGGCGTTAAACCCAACTCACTCACTCACTCACTAACGTGTTGATTTGTTCTCTCGACCAAGCCACTTCATGACATGGGTATTATACGCACCTCAATTATTTTCAGAATCAGCCTCTGTATTGTCATGTACGAGTCGTGACGTCATGTCGCTCATGCAGAGTCCAAAACCGACCCACATTCTGAAGAAACCCGTGAATATCCGGGGTAGAACAGGTCTTCAGCATAAGAGGCGACTATGCTTGTCGTAAGAGGCGACTAACAGGATCGGATGATCAATTACGCTGACATGGTTGATGCATGTCATCGTATCCCAATTGCGTGGATCGATGCTCATGATGTCAATCACTGGATTGCCTCGTCCAGGCTTAATTATTTACAGACCGCCGTCAAAAAGCTGGAATATTGCTGAGTGCGGCGTTAAGCAACAAACAAACAAAACACTCTGCAGACTATTAACCGTTTTAATCTGTATAAATAAAATATAAATGTAAAAAGAGACACATGAATAATATATCACAATAAAATCTACAAGCGATGGCGTGTAGCTCCCCGCCATGATTGTGTCCTGCAACATGACGTCAGCGCTGAACAAATGAAATGCACGTGAAGGAGGCTGGTAGACACCTTCATCCTCCATCTATATGTTACAGGGACTATGGCTAATCACGGAATGTGTATAATCTCTGGAATTTTCAGGATAATATACATAATCCTTAAAGTTTTCAGGTATTAATCATATTCCCTGATCCAACAAAAAGTCTTTTAAACACATTCCCTGAAATAAATTGACATTAGAATTAGCTTACGTCATTAGATTTGTAATAACAGAGCGTCACTCCCTCTTTGATGTTCACTGAATTAACTGTGAAGAGATTATCTGTAGCAATAAGAGTGAGTGAGTGAGGTTTTACGCCGCTTTTAGCAATATTCCAGCAATATCACGGCGGGGGACACCAGAAATGGGCTTCACACATTGTACCCATGTCGGGAATCGAACCCGGGTCTTCGGCGTGACGAGCTAACGCTTTAACCACTAGGCTACCCGACCGCCCCTGTAGCAATAAGAAGAACAGGAATTATTCATTGTATCAATATAACAATGTTAAGTGGTTTATTAAAAAGAAAGGATTAGTAAAAATAACACATAAGTTTGACATTTTTGGAACGATTAGTGATCACTGTTAAAAACAAAGGTTTAAGAGGACTGCACAACCACAGGTGAGATATTAGAAGCCACGGCTGTATTATACTGAGGACCATCAGGTAATGTACCTTGTTTGTTTTTCGTGTGTAATTGAAAATTGAAAGAAGTGTCATGTGATTATGTCCATTTAATCATCACTCATTCCTGACACATTTTGCAAACGTTTATCTCCGGCTGGGAAAACTTATGTCATCACCTATTGGTTCAATGAAGTCCACATGACCCCTACCACGTTTGAAATGTTGTAAAATTGTTTTAAAAAAAGAAACATTTATTGATTTTCAAAGATACATATCAGTAGTTGTGTATAATGAGAAAGGTTTGTTTAATAATATTTAAAGTTAAAGTGAGCGAATGAGTGAGTGAGTTGGATTTTACGCCGCCTGTAGCAATATTCCAGCAATATGGCGGGGGAGTACACCGGTTATTGGTTTCACACATTGTAGCCATAAGGGAAATCAAACCCGGGTCTTCGGCGTGGCGATCGAACGCTTTAAACACAAATGCAAATTGCAAAACTTATTGAACGCCCCTCGTGTCTCACCGCCCTTCAGAAGTTTTAGTACAATGTGTGAAGCCCAATTCTGGTGTCCCCCCGCCGTGATATTGCTGGAATATTGCTAAAAAGCGCCGTAAGCCATACTCACTCACTCACTCACTCACTCACTCACGCACTCAAAAGTTTTAAATCAAATTATAATAAATAAATAAAACGATGTGGAAGTATTCATTGAGTGCTGACTAAGTGCCAATAAAGTTTATATTCTCGGTATGATATTTATATACTTTAACTTAAGATATTTTTAAAAAAAAATAAATTTATAATTGAAAATAAAATATATGATAAAATCAGCTGAGAGGTAAAGTTCCTTTGCTCCTCGGTTTATCATCGGAAGAAATAGGAAATACTACAGTGTGGCGGCGTACAGTACACCAACAAGAACAGGAGACCCTTGACGTCATCAAGAGAGTGGATGTTGCTACTGGTCATGGTGGCAGAGACAAGATGGCCAAGGAACTCAGCAAACGTCACACAAGATTGTCTATCACTGTACAAGTCTTTCGAGTGCAAGCTTCAACGAAAGGACTGAAGTTTTGTCACCAAGGTATTCAGACAATGAGACACAGGCATTTGAAGTGGAATATGATACACATGTACCAGGATCGCCTTACTCGGGTCTGTGTACTGAGACAACGTACCTCAAACATATGTGGGGGATCGAATTCCAGGTCCGAGTCCCTACTCCATGGTGATGACCTCAGGTCATATCATGAAGGACTACGTTCCTTTTTGTAATTCGTTGATACGATTCTCGTGCTTTAAACAATTCACCTACGTCTGTATCGAAAGGTTTTGGTTTTCGAGTGTTTGATAAACATTCTTTGAATCTTATCGAGTTACATTATCATCTTCGTAATCCAGAGATAAGCTGAAACGTATTTTGTGGAGGGTCACGCCAGGCATGAGTAGTGAGCAGTAAGCTGGATGACGTCACTCATGACCGTTGTGTTATGTATTAATGTGCCACTGTGCTCACGAGAATAGACAAAATATGCATCGATTTGATGCGATTTTAGGTCGTGTAAGAAACATTACTGCACTCGTTCCTGACATGTACCATTTATCTTATAAATATGTGTTTCAGAACGTATCTAACTCGCTTTCTTTTGTTAGTTACGTTTAACAACAACTTGTAAGATCAGTGGTACGTGTCAGACACTCGTGCGGTATAATCTCTGTACACACCCATCCGAGTTTGGTGTGATGCTAGAAGTTGAGGTAGCAACGAATCCCAAGCAACGATGAGCATGTACACAGTTTTTGTGTCCCAATGTTATTGCTAATCTGGCTAAATGAACTTGTGGCCCATCTTCTCAGGAAGTGTCCACATATGTGCTTGGCGCAACCTCCAGCAGCAGCTGAAGATACATCTCTATCTTTTCTGTAAGCAAACATGGGAGAGATTGAGGTGTGAGTGATGGAAAATGAGTCTCTTCTTACATTGTATACTCTATGAAAGAACTATGATAATAGGAACGCATTCTCATGAACACCAATTGTGCTGCCCTTCTTGTTGATCTGTACGAGTTCAGCTAAATCGATGATCTGATATCGTTCAATTATGGTCAAATAGCCAATTCCCTTCTACTGATCTACCCACCTGAACTAAAGATAAAAGAGACCCAATCTGTAGATGCATGCATAACGATTCATAGTGACAAAGAATTCTCCTCAAGACTGTGTGACAAGAAGAATGACAAAAACCTTTCCAGTAGTCACCGTTCCCTTTATGTCGAGCAATATTCCGGCCCTTGGTGTTTACATTTCACATTTGTTTAGGTATATCCGAGCATGCTCTTTCTAAGATTTCAAAGAGCGTCATACGACTTTAAAAAAAGTATTACGGTAGACATGTGGAGGACATTGCCACCTTTGACAAAAATGAAGTCTGCTGTTATTCCCGTTTTAGACTTGTACCATTTGTCTCCGTTTAGTTTTTAGGTGAACACTTGCCTTGCCTTTGCATGTGTTTGTGACCGGTGCAACCGGTAGGATCGAATACGCTATCCTTTTCGCGAACACCTGGTATCATCACTATTTGATAAACACACTCTTATTAAGTAGTCGAAGTCGTACAAATGACTCTGCTTTCAGTCGATATTTATTATTATTATCATTATTATTATTATTATTAGTAGTAGTAGTAGTAGTAGTAGTAGTAGTAGTAGTAGTAGTAGTAGTAGTAGTAAAAGGAGTAGTAGTAAAAGGAGTAGAATGGAAATGATTGTTATCGTTTGTTTAACTGATACTTTAGAATGTTGATGTGCCAAAGTGAGTTAAATTGATTATTATACCACCAATGAACTGTCGCTGAAAGTAAATACATGGTACTGATACACTGTATGGATGTCGCGTCATTTCAGGGATATTCTATACATACCAAACCATTTTGGTTTTAAGTCGAAGTAGATGAGTGGGAAATAGATGACGAGGCCACCAACGACGAATATGGCTGCATACAGCAGCTCAACACGTGGATTCTCTACAATAGGGGCAACAACCAGGAACAGACACCACAGCATGAAGATTGTGGGGATGATGATAGGAACCTGAAAGGAAGGGTCAGGTTAAGTAACACATACATAGGCGTGTAGCAGGACTGTGTCAGACACACAGACAACAGGCGCATTCGTCACCACTCGCCCCTTTCCGTAACCTGCAAGAAGACTCGTCCCCCTATCGATGAATGTTATGTGCGAAAATACGACAAACCAATCAGAATGCGCGTTTGATTTCAAGTTATTCATCAAAGAATCCCTCAGAAATAATATTTGATTTTACACATGTCTTGCATCTAAAATATACCCAAGACACAGTTAAATGTGTTCAATCATACTGTATAATTCCACATGTCCAGATGTGCTTTAAATTGCATCTGAAACATAAATAATATATGGGGAAATATATGTGAACCATTACGCAACGAGTTGACAATTGTTTTGGATATGCCCGATTGCGCTAAGACGGATCCCGGTCCCAAAAATGGCTATGAGAGGGGCACGAGTCGCTATTCGGCTTGTCCCGGAATAACACGAGTTGGTCACGAATGACAACAGGCGCTACGGTGTTCTTCAATGGCCAATATTTAATCCCAGATGGTATGAACGTAAAACCCACCCAGGTGTGTGGGTATGGGATGACATCACACCTGGGGACGATGCCGCGTCAGGTGTCTACACAGTAGTACAACACTCGTCTTGAAATTTGATCCAAAGTTCCCCAAAGAGATCCTTGCAAATAACGAACGAGAATATACATAGAGGATTCATCACGAGTGTTTTTTAATATGGGAAATATCAACCGAGTCTTAGTTAATCGGTATTTGCCGAGCCTTTGGCGAGGCAAATACCGATAAACGGGACGAGGTTGATATTTCCCATATTAAAAAACACGAGTGATGAATTCTATTTATCATTTTCACATTTTTGCTTCCAAATTAAAGAATAATTGCATTAAACATTAACATCAGCAACTTGTCGAAATCTTACGTATAGATCGTGCGTAGTGATACATGTTTTCCATAGCCATGTAAACCAAAAAAAACAATTCGCTGAGAAAAAAGGTTCCTCGGATTATTTTAAACAAAATACTTGAACAGACTTTTGCAGAATAATTGAAACTTTAATAACCGTAACAACAACGATTCTGTGTAATCTGATTATATCTCTGGTGTAACTTCACTTATAATATATAGTTTCAAATCAAACCGCTCGCTCTTCCGGTTATCTCATTTGCATATCTAATTTGCATACTTATGTCATTGGGGTATGACATACATGTTTTTATGTCATAAGCTTATGTCATGTAAAATGCTTAAGTTAAATGATAAATATGTTTATCCTTTGAAAGGTATATGAGAAGTGACCTGAGTCCTTCTTAGGTGTCCAGTATACAGCATGGCTCAGTACCCAAACTGGCCATATAGACAAAAGGGCTTGAGTAGGGAAAGGCTGAAGTCTTAGTTCACAGGGTGTGAGATTCACAAACTAACCATGCAGTAAGCATGCTAAGAAAAAGGGCTGTGACTGATAGTGTAGTGTTTAAGGTAGGCTGAGAAATACAATAAGGTGACTAAAACTGCATTTAATTATGTACATGAATTATACTTAAAGGGTAAAATACAAGAAATATTCAAAATCTGTAACTGCCACAGTCGAGTTGGTAATTTTTTATGCTAATGTGAGAGTGTCGGGTGTTGCCGGTAGGGCAGGGCATGCTTACCTTGTTCAGGGTAACCTGGTGTCATCACTGATTGTCAGTGATCCACGCCTATACTTTTCACCGCTATTTTTCCTTTTATGCCCAATGGAATCTGGTTAGATCTCTGGCATTGACATTTTATATGTTTAAGGTGTGTCGAGATAGGACAACGAACAGTGAGTGAGTTGTGTTTAACGCCATGATGAACAGTATTTATGTTATACCGCGGCATGTCAGCCTTATATTGGAGGTTGGCGGCGATGCAGGTTAAGACATTTACCTCTTTTGTGATACCTACGGGTATGGTGCTGACAAACCTACAATATAATCAGGCCGTACCGGGATTCGAACCCACCATCAGTGGGATCACACAATACCTTTACTCGTTTCGGGTCGTCCTTCACTTTAAACCTCAGTACAATACAGCAGAGACCGCAAACACAGTAGAAGACCCAGCTGGTGAAACTTAGGAAGGTGATGAGGCTGGTGATGGAGCCCTGCAGAACCATGAAGGCAGCGATCAGCACCTGCAGCCAAACATCAACACATGGGACATGAGCTTAGATCAGAAAATACAGAGGTGATGAGGCTGGTGATGGAGCCCCGCAGAACCATGAAGGCAGCGATCAGCACCTGCAGCCAAACATCAACACATGGGACATGAGCTTAGATCAGAAAATACAGAGGTGACGAGGCTGGTGATGGAGCCCCGCAGTACCATGAAGGCAGCGATCAGCACCTGCAGCCAAACATCAACACATGGGACATGAGCTTAGATCAGAAAATACAGAGGTGACGAGGCTGGTGATGGAGCCCCGCAGTACCATGAAGGCAGCGATCAGCACCTGCAGCCAAACAACAACGCATGGGACATGAGCTTAGATTAGAAAATACAGAGGTGACGAGGCTGGTGATGGAGCCCTGCAGAACCATGAAGGCAGCGATCAGCACCTGCAGCCAAACATCAACACATGGGACATGAGCTTAGATCAGAAAATACAGAGGTGACGAGGCTGGTGATGGAGCCCCGCAGAACCATGAAGGCAGCGATCAGCACCTGCAGCCAAACATCAACACATGGGACATGAGCTTAGATCAGAAAATACAGAGGTGACGAGGCTGGTGATGGAGCCCCGCAGTACCATGAAGGCAGCGATCAGCACCTGCAGCCAAACATCAACACATGGGACATGAGCTTAGATCAGAAAATACAGAGGTGACGAGGCTGGTGATGGAGCCCTGCAGAACCATGAAGGCAGCGATCAGCACCTGCAGCCAAACATCAACACATGGGACATGAGCTTAGATCAGAAAATACAGAGGTGACGAGGCTGGTGATGGAGCCCTGCAGAACCATGAAGGCAGCGATCAGCACCTGCAGCCAAACATCAACACATGGGACATGAGCTTAGATCAGAAAATACAGAGGTGACGAGGCTGGTGATGGAGCCCCGCAGTACCATGAAGGCAGCGATCAGCACCTGCAGCCAAACATCAACACATGGGACATGAGCTTAGATCAGAAAATACAGAGGTGACGAGGCTGGTGATGGAGCCCCGCAGTACCATGAAGGCAGCGATCAGCACCTGCAGCCAAACAACAACGCATGGGACATGAGCTTAGATTAGAAAATACAGAGGTGACGAGGCTGGTGATGGAGCCCTGCAGAACCATGAAGGCAGCGATCAGCACCTGCAGCCAAACATCAACACATGGGACATGAGCTTAGATCAGAAAATACAGAGGTGACGAGGCTGGTGATGGAGCCCTGCAGAACCATGAAGGCAGCGATCAGCACCTGCAGCCAAACATCAACACATGGGACATGAGCTTAGATCAGAAAATACAGAGGTGACGAGGCTGGTGATGGAGCCCCGCAGAACAATGAAGGCAGCGATCAGCACCTGCAGCCAAACATCAACACATGGGACATGAGCTTAGATCAGAAAATACAGAGGTGACGAGGCTGGTGATGGAGCCCCGCAGTACCATGAAGGCAGCGATCAGCACCTGCAGCCAAACATCAACACATGGGACATGAGCTTAGATCAGAAAATACAGAGGTGACGAGGCTGGTGATGGAGCCCCGCAGTACCATGAAGGCAGCGATCAGCACCTGCAGCCAAACAACAACGCATGGGACATGAGCTTAGATTAGAAAATACAGAGGTGACGAGGCTGGTGATGGAGCCCTGCAGAACCATGAAGGCAGCGATCAGCACCTGCAGCCAAACATCAACACATGGGACATGAGCTTAGATCAGAAAATACAGAGGTGACGAGGCTGGTGATGGAGCCCTGCAGAACCATGAAGGCAGCGATCAGCACCTGCAGCCAAACATCAACACATGGGACATGAGCTTAGATCAGAAAATACAGAGGTGACGAGGCTGGTGATGGAGCCCCGCAGTACCATGAAGGCAGCGATCAGCACCTGCAGCCAAACAACAACGCATGGGACATGAGCTTAGATTAGAAAATACAGAGGTGACGAGGCTGGTGATGGAGCCCTGCAGAACCATGAAGGCAGCGATCAGCACCTGCAGCCAAACATCAACACATGGGACATGAGCTTAGATCAGAAAATACAGAGGTGACGAGGCTGGTGATGGAGCCCTGCAGAACCATGAAGGCAGCGATCAGCACCTGCAGCCAAACATCAACACATGGGACATGAGCTTAGATCAGAAAATACAGAGGTGACGAGGCTGGTGATGGAGCCCCGCAGTACCATGAAGGCAGCGATCAGCACCTGCAGCCAAACAACAACGCATGGGACATGAGCTTAGATTAGAAAATACAGAGGTGACGAGGCTGGTGATGGAGCCCCGCAGTACCATGAAGGCAGCGATCAGCACCTGCAGCCAAACAACAACGCATGGGACATGTGCTTAGATTAGAAAATACAGAGGTGATGAGGCTGGTGATGAATCCCTGCAGTACCATGAAGGCAGCGATCAGCACCTGCAGCCAAACATCAACACAGGAGACTAGAGTGGGTGACGGACACCTGGTGTCATCACTATTTGATAGTGATCCATAAACACATGCTACGATGTAGTCGGAATCGTACAATCGACTCTTTTGGCAGAGATTTTTTTTATATAAAAAAGCTTTTGTAGCTTCTATTATAAATCTAACATTGCATCAGTAATATCTCAGCCATATAGAGAACGAGTGAGTATGGTTTTACGCCGCTTTTAGCTGTATTCCAGCAATATCACGGCGGGAATACCAGAAATAGGCTTATGTGCCCATGTCGGGAATCGAACTTGGGTCCTCGGCGTGACGAGCGAACGCTTTAACCACTAGGCTAGCCGACCACCCCTCAGCCATATCGAGACGAGAGCAAATTATATATTGATTAAAACGATGTACAGTAAAATAGTTAGGTAAATATTACAGAAACAATAAAAAGCACCCGGTGCGGTTAAAAGTAATACAATATAGACAAATTCATGAACTGCAAGGTACTTTTTACAATTATTTTACAGACCACTCGCTGCCTTGTAATACGAATCCCTTGTGATTGCTACGTCCGCTCAATCAAGACGAATGTGGTTGGCAGTTAAACTTTCATCACAAGGGATACGTTCAGAGGGTTTTCGTCCCCTTCAGAATTCAGCAGATGGTCAAAGGTAAAACGATTGTTGTCATACGAGATCGCCGCAACATGGCCTCAACATGGCCTCAACATGGCCGCAACATGGCCTCAACATGGCCGCAACATGGCCTCAACATGGCCGCAACATGGCCTCGACATACATTGGCTGATCACTCAAATCTATACTTGGAGATTAGATGACCAAGGTGTATACCAGATAGATGTATTACTAGTGACGTGACCCGTGAAGATTCCGGGGTAGAATAGGTCTTCAGAAACCCATACTTGCCGTAAAAGGCGACTATGCTTGTCGTAAAAGGCGACTAACGGGATCGGTTGGTCAGGCTCGCTGACTTGGTTGATACATGCCATCGATCCCAATTACGTGGGTCGATGCTCATGATGTCAATCACTGGATTGTCTGGTCCAGACTAGTTTATTTTACAGACCACCGTCATATAGCTGGAATATTGCTGAGTGCGGCGTTAAACAACAAACAAACAAAACTAGTGACGTAAAACAACATTTACTCGTACTCACGTGACAAATGATTGCTGGCATGGGTGTTAACCTCTTCACGTTGACGAAAGACAGAAACTCCCACCAGTTCCCATCTCGGGCTGCTGCGAACTGTATTCTAAGATGAAGGAAGAGCAAAGGTGGGGGCTTGATTCTATTCATACATGTGCTTTCATGAAGTGTTGGGCGGTGGGATAGCCTTGTGGTTAAAGCGTTCGCTCGTTTCGCCGAAGACCTGGGTTCGACTCCCCACATTGGTACACAATGTGTGAAGCCCATTTCTGGTGACATGATATTGCTGAAATATTCTAAAGGCGGCGTAAAACCATACTCGCTCGCTCACTCACTTGCTCACTCACTCACGAAGTGTTATTGGGTAGGTCTACCTCCTGTACTGACAAACTCGACGATGTAGTAAAACTGTTAAAAATGTAAACATCTCCGTCAAAGTAGCGACAAATTCATATAGGAGGAATGTTATGTTGAGAAATGACACAAAAAAACCTTGGCTAAATATCATGACCTTCTACTAGAGTACCGAAAACATATTGCATGTACAGAATGTCAAACAAAGAGAGGACTCTTGATTCAAGTCACCAATGTCAATTGTTCTCTATAAGGTGAAATGAAATGGGTTTTAAAGTCGCGTCCAAGATTATTGCACTTATGTAGCGACGTGCATGCACGTGTGTGTGGCTGCTTGTACTAGTCCGGACTGATGCCGATTTATAGTGCTAGCACACTGGGATACCATGCCGCAGTTTAACATGAATACCCCACTCAGACACATGATACTGACTCCGAGACGACCAGTCCTTGTTTTAGCCCCTTAATGCCGAGCGCCAGACAGGGTAACAACAAGTACCATCCTTTAACGTTTGGCATGACGTTTGGGATCGAACCCCGGACCCTCCGCTCTCCGGGCGGACGCTCTACCACTAGACCACGGAGGCGGTCTGTCTCTATAAACATACCACAGCACGTTAAAAGCGATATAAACACGCCTGTATATACTGCTACATTATTTACAAGCTTTCGTCGTTACCGCTATAGACAGGTCTTTGTGAGTTATTATCACTATAAACAGGGACGTGTAAGTTGTTACAGTAAAAAACACACTTTTGCAGCTTGACATGTGTCACTGACAAATCACTTGGGCCAAAGGGGTCGTTATCATACTTTACAATTCATTTTATACAACACGACCCTCTCATATCTATTTTTTGCTACATTATACAATCTCACGAAAGGATATTCGTATCTAGACACAAAGTATCGCGAGTATGTGACTCGTTTTAGCCGTACACAATAATGTTTAGATACACACTCCCTCAAAGTACCGCTCACCTGGAAGCTGTGCCTATTCCACCATTAGAGCTGCCGTACACAATAATGTTTAGATACACACTCCCTCAAAGCACCGCTCACCTGGAAGCTGTGCCTATTCTACCATTAGAGCTGCCGTACACAATAATGTTTAGATACACACTCCCTCAAAGCACCGCTCACCTGGAAGCTGTGCCTATTCTACCATTAGAGCTGCCGTACACAATAATGTTTAGATACACACTCCCTCAAAGTACCGCTCACCTGGAAGCTGTGCCTATTCCACCATTAGAGCTGCCGTACACTGACATCATGACGGCGATTGGGATAATCCACGAGTAGGAACCAAGGACCCTGTCTCCCCATGTCTGGTTGGAAACAGTGAGAAAGTGAGTGAAGTGGGTTTCAATACATCACGGTTTGTCAGCTTCATGTGTGAGGGAACCCGCAGCGGTGTAGGTCGTTGACCTTTACTACTACCATGGATATGGTGGTGACTAAACTGAAGTGAGTGAGTGGACTTTTACGCCGCTGGAACAGTGTTCCAGTTACATCACAGCGTCTCGGGTTGGTGTTGGAGGAAAGCCCGAAGCTGCAGGTTTTCGAAAGCTACCAGTACCGGTTTGGTGCTGACAAACTTATTAACATAATCAAGGTGAACCGGGCTTCGAACCCGCGATCTTAAGTTCCTGGTACACAAGGGACACAACTCGTAACGCATCTGAGGACTGAACCACCCACGTGCACAGTGTGTATACAAACACAACACACGGACATTCAATCCTATGTATAGCCATTAGCCAACATCCTGATCTGTCAGACAATCAATACCAGAGTATGATCAATACCAGTATTGATGGGCCCGTGAAGATCCGGGGTAGAATAGGTCTTCAGCAACCCATGCTTGCTATAAAAGGCGACCATGCTTGTCGTAAGAGGCGACTAACGGGATCGGGGGTCAGGCTCCCAATTACGTGGACCGATGATCATGATGTCAATGACTGGATTGTCTGGTCCAGACTCGATTATTTACAGACAGCCCTCATATAGGTGAGGTGAGGTGAAATTGGGTTTAACGTCGCGTCCAAGATTATTGCACTTATATAGCGACGTGCATGCACGTGTATGTGTGTGTGTGGCTGCTTGTACTAGTCCGGACTGATGCCGATTTATAGTGCTAGCTCACTGAGATACCATGCCGCAGTTTAACATGAATACCCCACTCAGACACAGTATACTGACTCCGAGCCGACCAGTCCTTGTTTTAACCCCTTAATGCCGAGCGCCAGACAGGGTAACAACAAGTACAATCTTTTAACGTCTTTTTGTATGACGCGGCCCGGGATCGAACCCTGGACCTTCCGCTCTCCGGGCGGACGCTCTACCACAAGACGACGGAGGCGGTCGCCCTCATATAGCTGGAATATTGCTGAGTGCGGCAGCACAAACAACAAACAAACGAGTATTGATGGAACCCATGTTTCATTACATGTACCTGTGCGACAGCCGATGATTGATACAGCTCCTCACGGGTCATGACAGCAAGGTAGGAGACGTTGGTGAGGATGTAGACAACGCCGACTACCGCCACGCCGATTATACTCGACAGAGGTCCGTTTCTGGAAGTTAAGAACACCGATTGTTCAGAGACATCTGCGTGAACATTAGATCCAGTTCACTGTTGCTCAACAGATTAAAGTCATTCTGTAATTGGTTATAGGTTTCTCTTACAGAATTATATATCGTATGATAAAAAGTGTTATATCTAAATACTGTGAACATTATTACTTTACTATCTTGGTGATTAACTAAAAATAATGTATTTTGTTTCAATTTTGTTTGGGTAGTTCCATACAAGCGGAATGCTAGTCCATAGTGACGACATAGTGATTGTTAGACCATGGCGTTGTAAGCTATGATGTTAAGTTGTTTAACGCGGCACTCAGCAACATTCAGGCTGTATTACAATGGTCTGTAATTAATCGAGTATGGACCAGACAACTCAGTGATTGACATCATGAGCATCGATGAATGCATTTAGGATACGATTACATGTATCAACCAAGAATGCGATCCTGACCACCCGATCCTGTTAGTCGCCTCTTACGGCATGCAAGGGTTGCTGAAAATCTATTCCCTACCCGTATCTTCACGGGTCTGTATGCTATGGTCGAAATTAAGCCCAAATCGACAGGTCGATATCTAACTTAAAGGATTATTTGGCGAATGTGTTTTATGTAGAACGTAATATACGTAATGTAATATATATTTGGAATGAAAATTGTATGCGAGCCTTTGGTGTGCATAATAAATAGTTTTTACTCCTAAAACATATTTATAAAATGGCAACACAAGAGGGTATTATTGCTTCATCACATCTTAACATAATCGAAGTTTTCGTCATATTTTCAATCAGTTAAGTAACATTATATATCGCATGGGATTACAAAGAACCGCCCCAATCTTAATATAGTGCAAACGAGTCGCAGCCATATTTGGTTACATTGGCACTCGCCGGTCGGGAACCGTCCATCTGAATTCCGTTTGGACCGATAGGCAAAAGGCTTTTTTCGAGCAAGCAGGCATCGCGTCGATATGGAGCTTATCAAAAGTATTTCTGCTTGATGTCCTCATTTGCATATTTATTGGGTTGTGATACTACGTTTGTTGGATTGCTTTAACACAATCCATTATATATATGATACACTAATGAGTATATATATATATATGATACACTGTGACTCAGTACCTCTGTGGGTTCTTCACCTCCTCTATCAAGAAGTTGACATTGTTCCTTGAAAGACAAAAAGTACATATGATTTCTCCAAATCAAATGTGTGCATGTACTGAACAAACATACATGGTTATATGATATTGTAGAAACAGTATCACGGCTCCTGTCCGAACATAACTCATAAACCGTCCAGCCTATCTTCGAAAACTTTCGTGCACACATCAGACAAATGCTGAACTGGTGACTTGTTGTTCTCAGAACGTGATGTGTTGGCGTTTTGAAGGCCGATTCACAAGGTATTTTTTTATCAAAGGAGTTGTTATCCATAACATGTGTGTTTGTTAATCATAGTCAATTTAATATTTTCCATGGAAACATAAACTTTGTGTGTTCGGTGTCTATACAGCATGCACATGATGAGCTTGCCCCTTGTTTTATCAAGAAGTTCTCTATTAATGTTTTTTTCATTGGCAACAAGCTCAAACGAATCGGGTTTGTTTCCGGATTAAGCGATTCAATTTTTGTTTTGTCTGACTTTGCCTCCCACACATCATACATCTGCCATCAATACAGGGATGGTTTAAACTATAAATGTTACCATTTGTCATAATTCCGAGCTTTGAAAATGTATGCTTTGCATATGTTATACATGTGTAGCTTTACGATGAACGTCTTCTAAATGAAACGTTCTGTTTATTGAAAAGAACCATTTGTAATTCACTTACATTGCATTTCTTGATATTTTTAAGGGACAAAAGGACATCATATGGTGGAGTATCATGGACAGATGGTGGAGTACCATGGACAGATGCAGCTGGTTGGGTCTGTCATAACTAGTACATGAACTTCAGGACTGACCACAGGTTCGTCTGCCAATGTCAAATATGACCTGCACACCCATACACTGATTTTATGACAATAATCAAAAGGGAGGAGTGGTATGACTTGGTATTGTTGTTTTTCTTTTCCCACATCAGTTGCAGGTAAGTGGCCGACCGACACCCGACCCCACTATTCCCACCCCAAAACACACCACACCCACACACATATCCACCCCACGCCCCACACATTCTCAAACCACACCACACCAAACACATACCCACGCATAAAACTCCACCCCACACATACCCACACCCTGCGCACACATACCTTCACCCCAACCCACCCCCACACATACCCCTTACACCACACGTACCTTCACCAAACCCCACACAATACCCCTTATACAACACGTACCCACAACCCCCCCCCCCCCTACACAATACCCCTTACGCCACACATACCTTCACCAAACCCCACCCCCACACTTACCAACAACCCCAACCCACACTTACCCACAACCCCACCCTACACATACCCAAACCCCACCACCCCCCCACCCACACTTACCCACAACCCCACCCTACACATACCCAAACCCCAACACCCCCCACCCACACTTACCCACAACCCCACCCTACACATACCCAAACCCCAACACCCCCCACCCACACTTACCCACAACCCCACCCTACACATATCCAAACCCCAACACCCCCCACCCACACTAACCCACAACCCCACCCTACACATACCCAAACCCCAACACCCCCCACCCACACTTACCCACAACCCCACCCTACACATACCCAAACCCCAACACCCCCCACCCACACTTACCCACAACCCCACCCTACACATACCCAAACCCGAATGTGAAATGGTCGGCTGTAGCTTACCATCCTCCATATGCAAACATGACCGAGTAGTACGCCAGAGCGATGTTGGAAACCGAGGTCACAGAACCGTCAAACCCTGTTGGTAGATCAGACAACGTCCCTGCAAGAGGAGGCATGGCTTACTTGCTTGACTTAATTGACACGCGTCCCTACTACACGCTCAGACATGTATTCACGGGTGATGGAAGAACGTGGTGTATACAAATCCATGTACTGACGATGTCATTCACTTTATTCAGTGTAACTCCTTAACGCACTCAAGTGGCTACTTAAATCGCATTGCATGCCGAGAACAGTCTCAGCACTGTTCACCTCACTCCGCTCACAGCTGATTTTTTTCACTGACTTGTTACCTCAATGATGCAAAGTCAATTCTTCAACCACACAGCCACGAGAACAATAATCATTTAATATAAAAAAAAACTGTTCTATGAATCATCATAGGAAAACACCACAGATTCAATTGTAAATAAAACCTGTTACACAAAAGTAAAACATTTGTAGACAACTATACGAACTGCAATACAGACATGTATTTGATGTACATATTCGCAATTTCTTGGGATATGTACTATCAAAAGATCTTTTAGTCTACATCTTTCCCTTGTTGGCGCAGAATAGGCTTGGCAGATTCGCGAGGAGAAGGATCTGTACGTATTAAGTGTTTGAAAGACGTTTCGAAGTCATACACGTAAGGAAGATAAATTATGGACGTCAGCTTCTTTGTTATGAAGAACACAACGTTTAGGAGTATATACTTACTCCTTCATCACGTGAATAAATGCTATGAGAGAATGTTCTCTGCCTTACAGCATTTATTCACCTAGGTTAGTATAACCTCCGAAACGTTGTGTTCCTCATAATGTTCTCTGTCTTATAGCATTTATTCACCTAGGTTAGTATAACCTCCGAAACGTTGTGTTCCTCATAATGTTCTCTGTCTTATAGCATTTATTCACCTAGGTTAGTATAACCTCCGAAACGTTGTGCTCCTCATAATGTTCTCTGTCTTATAGCATTTATTCACCTAGGTTAGTATAACCTCCGAAACGTTGTGCTCCTAAGAGTTTTAGTAAGTCATAAATGTATACGCAGATCTCCGGCTCCGCCACACAAAGAGACGTTAAAAGACGTTACTTGCCGTTATCATGTCTGCATTAAGGGGATAACACAAGGACCAGTCGGCTCGGAATCAGTATGCTGTGTCTGAGTAGTGTATCCATGTTAAACTGCGGCATGGTATCTCAATGGACTTGTACAAGCAGCCACACACACACACACACACGCACACACGCACACACATACGCTCACACGCACACACACACAGAGGGACGCACGAAGGCACACAAGCGCCCTATTTATCCACTGCTGACTTCGCTCCCCGTCTTTAGGACGATAGAGTTGCATCCCTTCGTAACGCCAGTTTCGTAAGTCCAAATCCCAAATCGACCTGACGATATTGATTAGTTTTCTCAGCTCCCAAAATGTAAACATCCGAGATTTCCATTCCCTTCATAATGTTAAGAACCCTTGATCTAACTAAAATACTGAAAGCGCCATTAAAACCAAACTTGCTCACACAACCACCAGGGCACTATTCAGACAGGAAGGTCCAAATATGTGGCAGCTTTATTTGCTTCGATGACCTTTCTGAAAAGGGCAGTGCATTCAGTGCATACACACTTTGGCCCATGCATCCTGGCCTCTGCTTCTCTGCCTGACACTATCTGCCCGGGTCCCTACCTTGTCCAATGGAGACCAGCCCTCCGATGATGATCACAACAAGAGCTCCCAGCTTGGCTATGGTAAAGAAGACCTGTATCCTGGCCGACAGCTTCACGCTGTAGGACGTGGTGAACGAAAGGACAACTGGACAACAGATGTAAGGTCATGTACTGGGACATTGTCATGTTTGGCTCAGGATTATACAGTCTGATCGTACAGGCATTAAGATCATAACACAACTTTCATCGCTTTAATTACTGTAATGGGTAGTTTGTTCTTCAGTTTCCTTCTTGGACTTCACTCGTCAGATTCTAGTCGTATGAGGCAACTCATTTGACACTTAGTTCAAAATGAAATATATATGGTCACGAGATATATCACTATCTAGTCTGTCTAGTTTTACAAAACATTCATGACCCAGTTTGGGCATATATGGATAATATGTACTTTTGAAGAGGTGGTTGAAACAGTTCGAGGAATGTCTTACGACTTTCAAAGCAATCAAATGGCTAAGGATTTCTTGGAAGGGGGATATATTCATGGATACTGATACTGAGGAAGCGAAAAGAGAGGAATACCTTTGAGACGACAAGTAATTTCTTAAAAAGCATCTGGAAAACTCAGCCTTTAAAGAAAGCAAAATAGTTTAGGTCTCTTTGGACGTTAAGTGGATCAATACAGATGAAAAGTCAGATTTAACTACCTGTGTGATTCTCGGGAATTTGGCCAACACAATCAGGAACCACTTACCAAGCTAAGCTTTCTACGGACTTTTAGCGATCTTTTGTCGATGAAGAATCAGATTTACTACCTATGTAGACAAACTAGCTATATACTTCTCGGGAAGTGGACCAACACAATTAAACCTGCACTTACAAAGTACACAGATCGCTACGAGCCTCTTGGGAAGGACAGGTGACCCACACAGCTCCAGGAAGGAGGACAGATACTCGGCAAATGTCAGAGTCTGCACAGCTCGGGAGGCTGGGTTCCTGGCGATTTCGATGGACCACACGAACATGAAGGCAGGGATAGGGCCGAATGTTTTCAGCAGCACGGCGTACTCCCCGCCGGACGTCCGCGTGACAGATGTCAACTCCGTAAAGGTCAGTGAACCTGGAAACAGGATAACATATTTTCAGTTCAGGCACATTAGATTCCCTATGGTTTAACAACTTAAAGGATGCCTACGTGGTGTAGCGGATAGGGCGTCTGCCCGAACAGCGATTGTAAGGCCACAGTGGAATACTGTATATTGTACATTGGTAGCGTTGGGTACAATTTGTAATTATTGCCTTAAATTGCACGAATTTTAAACAGGTGCTCATTGAAACAATGTCTCCAACTGACCGCCTCCGTGGTCTAGTGGGATAGCGTCCGCCCGGAGAGAAGGTCCGGGGTTCGATCCCCGCCCGCGTCATTCGAAAAGACGTTAAGAGATGGTACTTGTTGTTACCCTGTCTTGCGCTCGGCATTAAGGGGCTAAAACAAGGACTGGTCGGCTCGGAGTCAGTGTACTGTGTCTGAGTGAGGTATGCATGTTAAATTGCGGCATGGTATCTCTGTGGGCTAGCACTATAAAACCAACATTAGCTCTTGCTAGTACAAGCAGACACACACGCACGTACACACACACGCACGCACACGTGTATGCACGCCGGTGTATACATGAAATGACCTTGAAAGCGCGACATGAAACCCTCTTCACCTTGCCTGACCTAACAAAACAACTTAAAGTCAGGTTGTAGTATAAACCCGTATTATTCCTTATCTTTTTCTGAAAATGCTTCAAAAGCGACATATAAGCACATGACACTTGATAATTGATACGTTATTTGTCATGAAACAATCAGACAAGTGTGCATAATCAGAAAAGATGTAGTTTGGTTATGGAATTCCGTCGTCCCAGATTGAGTGAGTGAGTGAGTGTTGTTTTACGCCGCTTTTAACAATATTGCAGCAATATCACGGCGGGGGCACCAGAAATGGGCTTCACACATTGTACCCATGTCGGAAATCGAACCCGGGTCTTCGGCGTGACGAGCGAACGCTTTAACCACTTGGCTACCCCAACACCCCCATCGTCACAGATACTGATACATTCATAATGCTTATATCCACGTCCATCTGTGTGACACTGTTTTGCTTACTTAAATGTACTTACCGAGGAGAGAGAGGAGAGCTCCGCTAGACCACACCACCATGCACAGACCCACCGACCCTGTGTTCCTCAAGACTCCTTGGGGGGTGATGAAGATACCAGAACCTACGAAACAACTTTATACTTTTACATGGGTCACACATATAATGATGAGTAGTTTCCTATCACAAGCCACCTTTTGCTGACCATCCCATCCCCGATAATAGAAACTCATCTTATTCCCTTCCCTCCTACAGTAATGTCAACCCCACCCCGATAATAGAAACTCATCTTATTCCCTTCCCTCCTATATTAATGTCAACCCCACCCCGATAATAGAAACTCATCTTATTCCCTTCCCTCCTATAGTAATGTCAACCCCATCCCGATAATAGAAACTCATCTTATTCCCTTCCCTCCTATATTAATGATTAATGTCAACCCCATCCCGATAATAGAAACTCATCTTATTCCCTTCCCTCCTACAGTAATGTCAACCCCATCCCGATAATAGAAACTCATCTTATTCCCTTCCCTCCTATAGTAATGTCAACCCCACCCCGATAATAGAAACTCATCTTATTCCCTTCCCTCCTACAGTAATGTCAACCCCATCCCGATAATAGAAACTCATCTTATTCCCTTCCCTCCTATATTAATGATTAATGTCAACCCCACCCCGATAATAGAAACTCATCTTATTCCCTTCCCTCCTACAGTAATGTCAACCCCATCCCGATAATAGAAACTCATCTTATTCCCTTCCCTCCTATAGTAATGTCAACCCCACCCCGATAATAGAAACTCATCTTATTCCCTTCCCTCCTACAGTAATGTCAACCCCATCCCGATAATAGAAACTCATCTTATTCCCTTCCCTCCTATAGTAATGTCAACCCCACCCCGATAATAGAAACTCATCTTATTTCCTCCCCTCCTACAGTAATGTCAACCCCACCCCGATAATAGAAACTCATCTTATTTCCTTCCCTCCTATAGTAATGTCAACCCAATCCCAGATAATAGAAACTTATCTTATTCCCTTCCCTCCTATATTAATGTCAACCCAACCCCGATAATAGAAACTCATCGTATTCCCTTCCCTCCTATAGTAATGTCAACCCCATCCCAGATAATAGAAACTTATCTTATTCCCTTCCCTCCTATAGTAATGTCAACCCCACCCCGATAATAGAAACTCATCTTATTCCCTTCCCTCCTATATTAATGTCAACCCCATCCCGATAATAGAAACTCATCTTATTCCCTTCCCTCCTATAGTAATGTCAACCCCATCCCGATAATATAAACTCATCTTATTCCCTTCCCTCCTATATTAATGATTAATGTCAACCCCACCCCGATAATAGAAACTCATCTTATTCCCTTCCCTCCTACAGTAATGTCAACCCCATCCCGATAATAGAAACTCATCTTATTCCCTTCCCTCCTATAGTAATGTCAACCCCACCCCGATAATAGAAACTCATCTTATTTCCTCCCCTCCTACAGTAATGTCAACCCCACCCCGATAATAGAAACTCACCTTATTTCCTTCCCTCCTATAGTAATGTCAACCCAATCCCAGATAATAGAAACTTATCTTATTCCCTTCCCTCCTATATTAATGTCAACCCAACCCCGATAATAGAAACTCATCGTATTCCCTTCCCTCCTATAGTAATGTCAACCCCATCCCAGATAATAGAAACTTATCTTATTCCCTTCCCTCCTATAGTAATGTCAACCCCACCCCGATAATAGAAACTCATCTTATTCCCTTCCCTCCTATATTAATGTCAACCCCACCCCGATAATAGAAACTCATCTTATTCCCTTCCCTCCTATAGTAATGTCAACCCCATCCCCGATAATAGAAACTCATCTTATTCCCTTCCCTCCTACAGTAATGTCAACCCCATCCCGATAATAGAAACTCATCTTATTCCCTTCCCTCCTATATTAATGATTAATGTCAACCCCACCCCGATAATAGAAACTCATCTTATTCCCTTCCCTCCTACAGTAATGTCAACCCCATCCCGATAATAGAAACTCATCTTATTCCCTTCCCTCCTATAGTAATGTCAACCCCACCCCGATAATAGAAACTCATCTTATTCCCTTCCCTCCTACAGTAATGTCAACCCCATCCCGATAATAGAAACTCATCTTATTCCCTTCCCTCCTATAGTAATGTCAACCCCACCCCGATAATAGAAACTCATCTTATTTCCTCCCCTCCTACAGTAATGTCAACCCCACCCCGATAATAGAAACTCATCTTATTTCCTTCCCTCCTATAGTAATGTCAACCCAATCCCAGATAATAGAAACTTATCTTATTCCCTTCCCTCCTATATTAATGTCAACCCAACCCCGATAATAGAAACTCATCGTATTCCCTTCCCTCCTATAGTAATGTCAACCCCATCCCGATAATAGAAACTTATCTTATTCCCTTCCCTCCTATAGTAATGTCAACCCCACCCCGATAATAGAAACTCATCTTATTCCCTTCCCTCCTATATTAATGTCAACCCCATCCCGATAATAGAAACTCATCTTATTCCCTTCCCTCCTATAGTAATGTCAACCCCATCCCGATAATAGAAACTCATCTTATTCCCTTCCCTCCTATATTAATGATTAATGTCAACCCCACCCCGATAATAGAAACTCATCTTATTCCCTTCCCTCCTACAGTAATGTCAACCCCATCCCGATAATAGAAACTCATCTTATTCCCTTCCCTCCTATAGTAATGTCAACCCCACCCCGATAATAGAAACTCATCTTATTTCCTCCCCTCCTACAGTAATGTCAACCCCACCCCGATAATAGAAACTCACCTTATTTCCTTCCCTCCTATAGTAATGTCAACCCAATCCCAGATAATAGAAACTTATCTTATTCCCTTCCCTCCTATATTAATGTCAACCCAACCCCGATAATAGAAACTCATCGTATTCCCTTCCCTCCTATAGTAATGTCAACCCCATCCCAGATAATAGAAACTTATCTTATTCCCTTCCCTCCTATAGTAATGTCAACCCCACCCCGATAATAGAAACTCATCTTATTCCCTTCCCTCCTATATTAATGTCAACCCCACCCCGATAATAGAAACTCATCTTATTCCCTTCCCTCCTATAGTAATGTCAACCCCATCCCAGATAATAGAAACTCATCTTATTCCCTTCCCTCCTATAGTAATGTCAACCCCACCCTCATAATAGTTACTCATCTTATTCCCTTCCCTCCTATAGTAATGTCAACCCCACCCCGATAATAGAAACTCATCTTATTCCCTTCCCTCCTATAGTAATGTCAACCCCACCCGATAATAGTAACTAATCTCATTTCCTTCCCTCCTATAGTAATGTCAACCCCATCCCGATAATAGAAACTCATCTTATTCCCTTCCCTCCTATAGTAATGTCAACCCCATCCCGATAATAGAAACTCATCTCATTTCCTTCCCTCTTACAGTAATGTCAACCCAACCCCGATAATAGAAACTCATCTTATTCCCTTTCCTCCTATAGTAATGTCAACCCCATCCCAGATAATAGAAACTTATCTTATTCCCTTCCCTCCTATAGTAATGTCAACCCCACCCCGATAATAGTAACTCATCTTATTCCCTTCCCTCCTATAGTAATGTCAACCCCACCCCGATAATAGTAACTCATCTCATTCCCTTCCCTCCTATAGTAATGTCAACCCCACCCCGATAATAGAAACTCATCTCATTTCCTTCCCTCTTACAGTTATGTCAATCCCAACTTCATTCCATTCCCTACTTAGGCCAACCTCAACCCCGATGATGGTAATTCCTCCTCTCTCCTTCCCTTCCTCTCACACCCTTTCCTTTCATCTTCCTCCCTTCCTTCCCTTCCCTACTGATACCAACCCCAACCCCGATAATGCTAATTCACCCCCTCCCCTTCCTTCTCCTGCCTTCCCGTCCCCTTCCCTTCACATTTAATGACCATCACTCTAATAATGGTAATTCGTCCATTGAAAGCAGCTGAAACCTTACCATGAATGATACATGTGCAACCCAGCTTACCAATAATTGATCCGACCACAAAGGCTATCCCACTGAACAGACCTATCTCCCTCTTCAAGGTCATCTTGGATGTGTCAATTTGGACCTTAGGTTCAGACGTCTCTGTGGAGTCAGCAGCTGCTCGTTGCCGCAGCTCCATGTCTGACAGTGACACCTTGTCCGGGGTCGATGAATCTGTAAGCAGTGTTTTTCACTTATTGACATATTTTACTTTTACTTTAATGTGGATTCACATAGATTTACATTAACATAATCGGAATGGTTAAAGGTGTGGTGTTTTAAACTGCTTTGGCCAGTTTTCAGTTATCACATGTGTCAGTTTTATGTTGGAGGGTAAACCAATATGACAAGCTGTAGACCTCTAATACTTTGTAGAAAGCCAGGAACGGACCCATAGTTCGGCCTCGTGTCAAAACATGTAATTCGAACTCCCAAACGGCAGATCCTCGCATTACTAAGGGACGCAACTCTGCACTGTTAATTGTGGTGTCTTAGTCCAATTGTTTTATTGCTTTCCTAAGCTTTAAGCCGCAAAACAACGCATGTTCTAATATCAACGAGGACCCATCTGGCTGAATCAAACGAAACTGTTAATTTTTTAGAAGACGACTAGCTTACCTTTCATAACCCTTGATCAGCTGATGTGAACCCATACGCAGACGACTTATATTGGCATGGTACTAACTATACTGTTAGGCTACGTCCTAATTTTGACTATGAACTCGCAGTAATGAAATTACCTTTTAAATTAAGCTGCTATTTGATCTGTTCGACAGATAATCAGACTGATTATTCTGTGGTGCTGACATTTTATATTACAAGTTTTGCCGAAATAAGACATGTTTGTACATTTTTGTCGTGATCGAGAGAGAAAGGTCGTATTTGAGAATATAAAACGTCAAATAACCAGTGTCGATTTTCAGACGAAACAGATTTCATTGGGCATTAAAAGCAATAACAGCGGTGAAAATTATATGAATGGATCTCTGAAAATCAGCCATAACACCAGGTGTTCTTGAGAAGGGTCATCAGTTCCTGCCCTGCCTCCTGCACCCGCCACTCCCACTATTTGCATAAAAAATAAAATCTTGTACATATTTGTTATGATCGATAGAAACAGGTCGTAGTAAAGATGAACTGGCCTCTGGAAAACTTGCCTTTCTTAACATGTACACTTTAATCTTCAGGAAACACGAGTAAGACGATCACGTTACAGAGACGATACACATAACGTTGGACAAGCAATACATTATTTCAAGGCCTGTGAAGATAAGGTGAATGGTTTTATCAAGCATTTTGTGAAAATAAAATGTCGTCTCTGAAGCTATCTGATACGTGCTGATGAACACACAAATGACTATGGACCAACAACATACTATACTATTTTCCCTTCTGTCCAGTCCTTTATGTAATGCAATGTGTAATGTGAAGCAAGTCTAGATTTTCCTCAGGTTCTCCTATCTCACCGGGGCTCCCTTTCAATTGTTTCTATATAAATTATATTTTTTCAGAGACAAAGCGTTAGTCTATTGGAACCGTGGCGAACACATCTGTAGGTCAAGATTTTATAATGAATCCTTGCCTCGATAGGCGGCCAGTGTCGTGGCATCATGACTGATGTATGGACAAAACTTTGGAACGATAAGATTATAATAACTCAAGTGTCGGAGAATACATAAATTGTATTCAATGAAAGTTGCCTTTTCTAGTTTCGGAGATGACGGTTTATATAACTGCCTTCAGATATTAAAAAACAAAAAAACTCTTCATTTCCAGTTTGAAACAAACATAGTGTCCCTAATGGTCAACAAAACTAATAAAATGTCTATTCCATTCAATTAAATCAACTTGCAACAATTAATATTAATTTATTAATATGTCCACAGCGAGTGTGAGCCAGACAAACACGTGGTTGATATATGACTCACGTCGTCAGGAAACGATGGCTCTCCATCAGACAGGTGGACGAGTCCGACCACCCGATACATTAAGTCGGTGACATACATGGGTGAATGGGGTCCTATTCTGACCTGGAATCCCTTCGACGTGACCTCATATGACACTCATACAGACACACACTACAGTTGGTCAACAGTGACTCTTAAACGCGAAGGATAACCTCAACGTTAAAGCCCTTGAGTCATGTCAGCTGGTTATACAGTAAGATGTGCGGCCTGTTGGGAGTGAAGGCTGACGGTATGGTCACAGAACTCCGGGAGGAAGCGACCATGTGCTATATCTGGGATTATCTTGATCAAAATAATCTTTTCCCGAGAATGCGCGACAAAGTAATAAAACTGTTTCCCACAAAAAATATACTTGGATGAAAGGTTATATTACTCGACACAATGTATTTCCAAAGACAACGCTTTTAATGTTTAAGAAAGACACAAAATGGAAAGATTTACGATGTCTGCCTAAACATATTTTTTTCGACCCGTGAAGATCCGGTGTAGAATAGGTCTTTAGCAAACCATGCTTGTAAGAGGTGACTAACGGGATCAGGAGGTCAGGCTCGCTGACTTGGTTGATGCAGGTCATCGTATCCCAATTGTGTGGATCGATGCTTTTGATGTCAATCGCTTGATTGTCTAGTCCAGACTCGATTATTTATAGCTGGAATATTGCTGTCATATAGCTGGCATATTGCTGAGTGCGGCGATAAAAAACAAACAAACAAACAAAACATATGTTTTGCGAACTTCGACATGTGTATTTTCGTCATCATTCCAGACGATGAAATTGTTGGTCACCATCCACAAATAAATAGAGGTTATCACGCGAGTGTGTTTGGGGATGGTAAATATCCTGCATTAGGAATAAATATTGTATTTAGCGAGCCTTGGCGAGCTAAATACATAGTGTTTATTCCTAATACAGGATATCTACCATCCCCAAACACACAAGCGTGATAACCTCTTTATCATATAATGTCATTCTTTAATTCTGTGCTTCAAAATCGTTTTCCCTCTCTCACAAACATTACCAAAACATTGCGACTTTTCCTGGAATGCGCGAATTAATATTTATTACGTCACAGGGTAAGTGATGTGTCAGTCGGACAGTGACAGTAGCCAATATAGTTCCAACTGAAATATGTTTCTTATACAGTGGCGAAGCAACATATACGCAAAACAACAATTGTTTTTAATTGCCTTTCGTGGCAATCCATCGGTCTGTCCGCTAGAGTAGCTGCCCTTTGTCAAAGGGAAGCTACCCTAACCCTAGTCTATGAGACGTCACGGCCAAGGTCAGACGTTGTTGACAGTCGGTCTGTCCTGTCATAACGTTAAGAAGTGTAGTCAGATGTACACACAGCGACAAAACGAAACAAGGTAACAATTCAAACATATTTCGGCCAAATCCAACTATTTTAATTTGTGGAGAAGGTTTCAAACCGCAGAGATCTACAAGCACAGACATGGCTACTGATCCCGCTTGGCTTGGCCTCGTGCCGTCGCAAAATTGTTTCGAAATTTATATCTCCAAAGTTGCCAATACTTATAAAATGCCTTAGCTACGTCACAGTAAGACACTGGTTTTCAGTATATTAGACTGTTCTTTTGATAATGATAGCAATTATCCCTGTAGTTTATCCAGATTCCCGATGATTAATTCTGACTCGATCGCCGAATGACGAGGGCGACGCCATGTTTGTTTATAAACAGTGAAATGGTCCCTACTTGACCCTTCATATTTGCATCTCTATCCGCATATGACCCCAACGGATATCGTTTTTATCCGTTTGCTTTATCTTGCCGAGAAACCTACTCATTATATGATAAAGAAGGATATGTGGCTTAAGCCCACATACATGTAGTGTACGCTGGGCGTGCTCTGCAAACTGCACACAATATGTTTATGACTACATTGTGAATTTACGACAGCCGTATTGTCAAGACACGTTGAACCTAACGTTGACCCTAACATTGACACTAACGTTGACCTTTGTTGAATTGCCTGGGTCAAGGTAAACATAAAGAAGAGAGACATCTGTCACCCGCCATCTTGCGGGCCAAACAAGACACCAACTTGACTGAACGGCGGTTTAAACCCGTACTACATGCATGTGTTCTTAAGATAATTAGAAGATAAAACTTTTTGTTAACTCCAGATTAAATATTTAGGTCATGACCCATGATGTTATAAATATTGAATTTGTCGGTGTAAAATACACAGCTGACATTGTTCTCAAAAACACAATTTCTATCTTTCTTTGCAGCACCCATTGTTATATACACAACGTCAACGCCAGAGAATAACCAGTCTCGATTATCCGATATGGCAAAATCTCGGTGAAAATTATATGGAAACATTGTAATACAGTGATGACATTGATTTCGCGAAATTGTTGTGACTTTATATCAAATAGATAGTTGTTGGTCGGATGTTACCATCTTGAAGACGGCTAGAATCATTTGTAGAGGTGACATGTAGTTTTTTTTCTATCTACGAAGATTTCAAAGAGCGTCATACGACACTTGTTAAAAAGTTCTTTTTTCAGGGCTACAACATACAACAATCAAGGCCTCAGTGAATGGTTTTATTGTAGACATGTGTGGGTCATTTCCAATTCTGACGTATCAGAAAAAAACATTTGTTAGATGTCATTTTCTATTTTGACTACCATATGGTCTCGTGTTTTGGTTAGGAGAACAACTGACTTGCCTTTGCATGTATTTGTGACTGGTGCCAACGGCGGGGCAGGATAGGCTCACCTTATCGTGAACACCTTGTATCGTCCCTATTTGAAACTGATCTATAAACACAAGCTTCTCATATAGTCGGAATCGTACACTGGACTCGGCTTTTAGTAGAAATGTCTTATGATTATGGAAATATTTTTGTCGCTTTTATTTCATGACACCAGCATATCAAGTGAAGCACCAACACCCACTCACCCCTAACCTTCACCCAACTCAACCCCAACCTCAACCCCCCTGCATCCTATCCCGACACAATGCCAACCCCAAAATATCACATGGTTGGTTCCTTATAAGCATGGATTCTCTCGAGCGTTATGTTAGATCAGTAGTCTATGGAAAAGCTGAAACTAGTGAACTGCCTCTTATGTCATCTTACCGAGGCAAGGGAGTTTATTGACTGTAAAAGTCCAGTTTCCACCCTTGCCGAACTAGACTGGAATTATAGAGATATATTCTGGCTGGACTAAC